AACCAATTGAGACCTATTATCATAAGCAAAACTCCGCACCTCACCTCCTTCTCTTGATGTAAAATTAATTGCAGATGAGTCAGCCACAAAAAAATGGCTAATTTTAGCTCACTGTCCCAATTCTTTCACTTTTGACTATACATGATAATATACTATACTGTGTTTCTACATTGTATACTGTGCATCTCTTCTGTAACCCAGTTATTCTTTGGTGACACTGAAAATTATAACATCAGCTCTGCTACAGCATGGTAGCTGAACTTTATTCTCAGTATCTCATCACTGAAGTTACTGACACATCTGCATCCAAACAGAAAACCCATGCATGCACGCAGACCTCCTTTTGGGAAATATATTAAAGAATTAAATAATGCTAAAAAAAATTACTTTCAGTGACTTAACAGAGATTAAGGTACCATCCAACTCATAGGGATCTTGTTAGGGATGAGCGAATACACCATTATCTGCATCTGTGTCTGTTCACTTTACATACCATTTCCTAAAACAGTTATTTTTCTGACATTTCCAAACCATATGTGAGTGACCTACAATACATCGAATGATCCACATTCTCTCCAACATGGGTGACATCAGCTTACTAGAACTTAATGATAAGTTGGATGAAGAAATGTCTCTACTGTACAGAGACAGGGACCCCTGTTGATCAGTCTTTGTGTCTTCCCACTCAGACAACCATGGTTACATATGTAACCTTCCATTTGTTGTCACTTACTCTTTGCAATTAGAAAAAAAAAAGGAATTAACATTGCTTAGACTACAATTTGGGACATCCTCTTGTGTTCTGTGTACTCTTTTAATTGCGAATTCAAGGAATAGCGTATTTTATACACACTCCGTCACACACAAACACTAACACACACACACTCTAGTGCACAGGCAGGTGCCGGGCTGCGCCTTTGATGCCCCTCCTGCCAAGTGGTCCTGCTGCTTCCTGGCACCTGTCACCGTGGAGACGGCTGATTGCATCACCAGCGCTCACCAGAGGGGAACGGCACGCTGAAAGAGAGAAACCATCTCTCCATCCTTTCATCTGCTTACTTCAGTGATGGCCGTCCCCTCTTTTTCTTTTGTCCTCCGCACCCCCCTTCGTCCCCTCTACTCCGCCTTTTATGTCCCCATCACCGCCATCCCCTTTCATCAAAAACCCGAAAAATGAAAGAAAAAAAATCTGACAGATCTACTGTTTCAAATCTAGCTGAGAATGTCACTCACGCCTCAGAGCACATGATATTACCACGGCCTTCCCACTGACCTCAATCCAAATCTGAAGAGGCATATCTGAATACTCCTTTCATGATCGTGTCTTGCAGTGGGAGCAGAAGGAAATACGGTCCCTTTTTCTGTCTAATAAGTCTATTGTGATTTCAGTGAATGTGTGCTCTCTTTAAATGGAAAATTCACCCTGTACCAGAATTGACATTATGTTTCTGCTGTGATCATTCTGGGTCAATGAGCGCTCGTGAACATGAGCGCGTCTGCCAGAATCTATAGAGCCGAGTCTCGTTTAGACTGTAATGTCACTGGGTGATGGAACTGCTCTGGTGATAATAGACAGGAAACGAACCTAAAGAAAGCAGTCCAAGGTAATGTTGTAACATTACGACAACCTTTTTACATTTTCTGGTTCATAAGGGCAGAATTGAACTGAGCTAAATTTAATCTGATTGATGCTTTACACTGAATATTTGTTTAAATTCTTTCCTTTTTCAACCTCTAGTTCAGAGAAAAGCCAACTGAGGTGGGGAAGACATCGGCTGGAGACAGATGTGTGTGTGGCAGGTCACCAGGCTGCTGACCCAGAAGTGATACAGAGCTATGTCAAGAGGGTGAGTGCAATGGGGAGCACAATTATGCTAGAACAGCTGCTTTGGTCTAATATAATTCACTTTTAACTGATTTGTCTTCAAATAGAGATGCCTGAAACTCGATAAGAGTAATGTTTGTTCTTGTATGATGCAATCAATCTTCTACAAATTATCTTTTTTTTTTTTTTTTACTATAATTTCCAGGGTGGGTCAGATAGGATCTTTGTGCACCATAGCTTTAATGATGAGACCTATGCAGGGTAAAGGACTTAATATTCCTAGAATTATTTTGAAGAAAGGCCTTCTAGTAAAAACATGTAAGGGCAAATCTAACGGAGGGACACTGAATGCTTCAATTAAAAGAAGAAACCAGAACAGGAAAAATATTTTAAATCTACACTTGTCATTTGTTTAATACAGTGTGAGAGGGTTAGGGTACACCAGTCCAACGTTTTCCCCCAAGTGCCGATTACAATACCTCAACTGGGGATATCTACTGGTGTAGATTTGATATCATTGCTCTGCTTTCCCCCAATTTAAACTGTATACCTTACTGCAACTGGAAGCAATTGTATAAGATAACATGAGGCCAGGGTTCACTTATTATTTTTTCAGAATAACATTAGAAAATGGAGATGAGCAATATTTTTTCAAATAAAATTGGTAGCAAAGGGCAGCTAACCAGAAAAACAGCAAAATTTACTTACAGGGGGCCAGTGCTCCTAAGCAACCCTACCTTCCCACAAGCCAGTACTCTATCACATGTCCTGCCCGCCTCATGGGTGGCTTCACAGGTGGGGAGGGGAGTAGAGAGAATGTGACAACATTAATATAATAATGAAATAAGAATATAAAATAGAACATAGTCATCATCAAGTTGAAGAGAGACCCAAATGAGATGATTTAGAAGAGGCAACCAGGTGTCAGTGATTGAAACAAGAAAGTGCATTTGTTACATTCCGGCTTAATGAGGTCAGTATCTGCACTCATACAGATCCACCATATTGAATCAGTGTATCCCTAGAGAGTATGTTATGTTTGGTAGCCATGTAGGGATCTGTAGAGAGGGAGAGGAGGTCACAGACCACAGGCAGGTGGTCTACATCTCCTTGACCTCAAATGTCTTTTTGACTTTATGACGATTCATTTTGGAGAGTTTGCTCACCAGACCTGTAGCTCCTCATCTCTGCTTGAGGCCAGTGGCTCGAGGCTACATTAGCCACCTCTAGAATAACACACCTGAGTCTCGGACCAAACTGTTGGTGGTCGAGTTGCATTGTGGGCAATGTAGGCAGCAGGTTTTGACAAAGAATAAGAATGTATGAAATATAAAATAAGAAGATATCGCTGGTTTTCGCATAGGTTTTTTTAATGTCGTGAGTCTGACAGAGTTACTGGAGTGCAATGCTATATCAGTGGAGTTATCTATGTCTTCACTAATCTATGCAGAATCCGCCCCTCCTCCTTCTTTGTCTCCATACTTGTTGCACTGTGTGTTTTTCGTGTGTGCCTTTCGTGTTGGCGCAGCACTGCTGTGACAGTGAAGGAAACATTACAGGGCTCAAAAGGCTGCAGGCAGCTGACTATAATTGCCTGTCTGTGCCATATGGTAACTCTGCCTCTTGTCCTGACATGCAGAGCTTCTCCAATTCAAATGGAGCAAATTTGATTTGAGGTTCTCCATTTTAGATATTGCAAATTTACCTGATTGGAAGGATTTTAACAATATTGGATTCCCTCTAGTTGTATCTCATGTGACACTGCTTGCTATCCTGTTACTGGGAAACTGAAAGAGGAGCTTCATAATGAATGGAAGGTTACGGAAGTTATCATAAACTATAGTTAGACTTAGCCCCAAGATACCCTGCCAACCACAGCGTCATCACTGGCATTTATCAGCTGTAAAACTCACTTTTAGTCTCTCTTCTCATGAATTGAGTCCTACAATAGGAAATGAAAATGTGCTCTATTGAATAGATTTGCATCTGAACACCCATAGAGCACAAAGGGAAACCTGATTGGATGGAAATGCACATCACTGAGTATAATGTGATAGGCTCCGGCAGCGTGACATGAATAACCAATCAGATCACAAGCTGCCAGAGAGAGTTCGAGATAAGGACCCAGGAGCAGTACCGGGCAGACAGAGTGACAGGCTGACGTGTGTGTGTGTGTGTGTGTGTGTGGGTGTGTGTGTGGGTGTGTGTGTGGGTGTGTGTGTGGGTGTGGGTGTGGGTGTGTGCGCGTGCATGTGTGTGTTGAAATTCTATACTTTTGTTTTTCCAGCTCTCACTAGCCCACCCACTCTCAATCTGTCTCCGGACATACTCATCCGATAAAACTGCGTGTAATTGTGAGCGTGTTGGGCGGTAATAGAGAGACTGTTTAAATATGTTATGTGTGTGTATGGATGAGTGAAGTGCCAAAAGTAGTTGGTAATAGGGGAAGATGTGTCTCATTATTGTTTGGTGGTAGTTTGCAATCTGATTTCTCTCCCGTTGAGCCTGTCTAAAACTGTCAGCCCAAATATCAACTGACAATTAACCACCAGAGCTCCACGGGAGGGAGCTGTACACACAGACACGTACACACACACGCTGTTTATGTACACACACGGATGCGTAGAGATAATGAGGTCCTTTTGTCATTTGAATATTTGATCTTTGCAGATGATTAGGTAGGTTGTTATTTTGCAGAATATCTACCCTGTGTACATCAGCCTTTGTTTGTGTGTAAATGAGGCTTTCTTTGTCTGACTAGTAGAAGAGACGGCAAATTTATTTGTGGTGCTTTGAATGACGCTGTGTCATATTAATGTGTCACTCAAATTTATTCTAATAGACTTTATTGGTGTGTGTGGATATTAACACTGCGTGCGTGTTACCCCTACAGATCCAGGACGTAGCAGAGCAAGGGGTGATGTTTGTGGGCTTTCTCCAGCAGCCGGGCGGAGGACCCTGCTTCTTGGGGCACTGGGATCCTGAAGAGCTGTCCTCCTTACATTCAAGCCCTTCACCCATACATCGAGACCCCTTCAGCACCAACACCAGCCCAACAGATCCTTTAGAACCACATCATAATGACATAGAACCCGACCATCACCAGTTTGAACCTCAAGAATTAGATCATGAAGCCGTTGAACATAACACACAGGACCACAAGCCTTTGGTGCCAAGGGAACCGGATTTCAGTCCTCTAAAACCCATTCAGAGTTTAGAGATTAACCAAGAAGAGTCCAGCGAGCAAGTGCAGACCTTACAGATCAACCTCAAAGAGTCACTAGACACAACAAACTACCCTCAAGATCACAGCAAACTCAGTGTAGACACAGTTCAGTGGTGTCCAAATCAAAACCCAGCAGAAGCCCAAGGGACCCAGCTGTGTCCCAGCCCTCCAGAAGCTGGTATAATCAGACAGCAGAAGGGCCATCTACCAGACCTCAAAGAATCCACAAAGAAACATTTGAACCTTTCCAACCGGAGAGAAAGACAAAGTTCAACCTCAGACAGCTGGCCCAGTTCTCCAGAACTGGATCGAAACCATGAAAGAAAATCCAGCTCCACCTGTACAGATGGGCAAAGCAGAGTGATGACACACAACAACAACAATATCCGGCTTAAGAGTTCAGAGAAAGATAAGAATTCAACCTCACCACCAGCGCAGGCTAGTAAGTAACCAATTTCCTGTTTGTAGTGGGGTAAATTGGGTAAATTGTGTAAATTGTAGTGGGTGAACAAATCATCATTATGCAAAGTTCTATTCGGTGTCCAATTGTCCGTTTGACTATTTTTGGTTGTGTGCCTGTAGGGATGCAGCTCTTTGCCTTGTACAACCACACAGGGGAGCTGAACACTTCTCTGAGGTTCTACTCACTCAGGGTGCCACTGCGAGTACAAAAGGAAGCAGGGCTAATCACAGAAGTTGACACACATTGGCTTGACCATATGACTCAGCATTTCACCAGCGGCGCGCACCTCATCGATGGGTTTTTCCACCTTGAAAATGATAATGGTATGTTTTGTGGTAGCCATAGCAATCAACTATTGCTGATCATGTCATTTGGAATGACTTTCACCCTACAGTCATACGTAGAGCATGTGTATGTAGAGCATGCCACATCCTGAGTGCCAAGTCAAACCAGAAAGGGACACAGCGTAATTAATTCTTGCGTCATCACTGAATAGCTCATGTGAGACACAGTTGATATAATAGCTTCATCCATTTTTGGAGTTTTAATTTCTTCAAAGGTTATCACTGTCAAGACTGCATCAATCAGAGGCACAAATTCACCAGCATTGAACTCTGCATGAAATTAAATGATGCCAGCTATCCCATTTAAATAGATTGACTTTGGTCTGGAAATCTATGAATGCTGGTGTGACCAAGATGTTTTAATGTATTTGCTAAATATGTTATCAGCTTAAAGTAACCCCCCCCGAATACCACAACATAAACTCCTAATTGATTATTTTTTAAATCACTTGGTCAGAGTCCTTGCAGACAGTTGCCTGTTTACATATGCAGCAGATGCAAAGCAACGGAGCATTCATTTGTAGTCGTGTTTCTGCCCACCTGGCGAATGTAAGTACGATACTAATGCTCCTTTTAGCTCCGTCTCCACCTGCTCCTAAGGGAAAGATTCGGCTCTTTAGCAACTACATGCTCCTCTATGTTCACTAGGTACTAGTCACTAATTCTGTTTGTCACCTGTCTATTGCTTGGCTGGTAGAGTACAGTGAGTTTATCAGATCTTTTTCTTGAAAAAAACTGCCCTCTTTGGCTGGAAACAAGATTGATGATAACAGTAAGACTGAAGCAAAACAGTGAAGTTTTTGGCCATGAAACCATAGGCTGAGCTGCAGAGTTGGATGACCATTTTCTTTAGGGGGGGGGTCATCAGTACGGGCACCCACTTTCACATTAAACATAGTCGTTTGATCTATTGTCAATATAAAAATGTGTATGTATTGCAGCTTTAAAGTAAATGTTTCACCTTATCTTCTGGCTTTAACTCAATCATTTCCACTGGTTGAGCTCCACTAGTTCAAGAAGAAAAAGCTGCTCAGGCTCACTGCTGGGTAATGAATGATACAGTATACATGGAATTATGTGCCCTAAGTCCACGGCTTACACCATAAGTCACTGTTCAGTCACCCATGGAATAAGTAGGCTTAAGCCAAAGGGAACAGGGGATCAATAGTGAGAGATTGGAGAGTGGAGATGAGCTTATAACTCCTGTCTGAATCACATACATCCTCCCCTGTTTGTCTCACTCTAATTTGTCCTGTTTCTATAGACAATGGGGTTTCATCCGTGGACAGCGTGTTCATCTTCCAGAGCTCTGCAGACGAGACAACAAACACCTCCTTCGACGCCATCGTGGTTGAGCAGTGGACCGTTGTTGATGTGGGTCTTTGAGTTTTTAATACTCTAGAGAAGATGTGCACTTTGAGAAATCGTTTGTGACTGATGGCTTAAGCAGTTTTCTGTCAAACATTACATAAGAGTGGAGATGAAGGAAAGTAGCGTGTGTGCTTGTGGCTGAGCTTAGATTTAAACACCTGCACGTGTACTGTAACGTCTGAGTGACTCTTTCTCCCGTCTAGGGTGTTGTGGTGAAGACAGACTACATCCCTTTGCTCCAGTCTCTGGCTCCGTATGGATGGAGGCTAATGTGTGTGTTACCCACACCAATTGTCAAGACCAACAGGTACAGAACTACACCCCAAGATACCAACCATAAACTCACATCTCTACTAAACCTGTCTTTCTTTAACCACCAAAAATCGATGAGGACTAATTGCATTGCCTGTGTCATTCTTTTGGGGATAAGGACTGACAGTGTAGCTTAGATACACAGGACAGATGGTTCGAGATCTGACAAATCATGATCATATGCTGATCTCAACATGAAACCGCTTTTGAAATCTGTTGGAGCTGCAAACAACACAGTCGCTGATGTGCTGTTGTCTTGTAACCTGTCACTTGCAAACCGCAGCGGTGGATTTCTATATATGTAGCAGTATGCAAGCTCCTCGTATTATAACATAACAGGTAACAGTAGTAAAAGTGCTGCTCTTTTCTTTCTTTAGTGACGGCAGTTTGTCGACCAAGCAAATCCTTTTCCTTCAGAGACCCGTTTTGCAGCGCAAGAGAAAAGACTTCAAGGTTTGTTCCCCTCTGTCTTCCATCTTCGCCGCAAATCTGTCACTTATCTCTGTTGTGCCTTTAGGATACGTGACTTTATGTCACAGAAGGTGCCATTAAGAAGTCATGTTACTAAATATGGGATGTACAGCAAATATAAACCAGCTCAGGAAACGTCTAATAATAGGCAAATAGTCGACCTCAAACTGTACAGGAAAGAGGCGTCAATAAAAGAGGCTTTGTTGTGGTTTGTCAGGTGTCTGGAGAGATGGAAAGAAAAAGACATGACACAAAGCGCAAAACTGTCTCAAACACTTCCATTTGGTTTCAGATGCTGAGCCTCAGGGGTCGCAGCAAGGCAAAGAAGAAATCTGGAGAAACGCAAGAGGAGAGAGAAAACAGGTCCCCTGTGATGGAGACAGAGATGGACAGGTTAAGGAGAAACACAAAAGAGGAGGAAGGAGAGGCAGATGGGAGGAAGAGCAGGGACAGCGGAAGGAGTGAAGGAGCGTGCCCTCAGAATGATGGAGAGGAGAGTGGAGAGGATGCACAGCATCAAAAGGGCTTCTTGTTCCATTCAGGGAGCAGGGCGTCTGTTGAAGAGCAGGAAGAGGAAACCGAAATTGACGAGATCCCACAATCCAAGCAGGAGAAGTCGGTGAGATGGACAGATGTGTGTCAGAGGGATGGTGGAAGAGGGGTCAAAGAGGAGGTAAAGATGGAAGAGCGGATCAGACAACAGCTGTTTTCCGGTGTCTGTTGACACATTGGGCACAAAGCAGGCAAAAAGGGGGAGCTAAGACCTGTTTAATTCCTCAAAAAATGCCTTTTAAAATAATGTTTTGTTGATCTGGATTTTTTGTTCCTCTGCGGACAACCCAGATTTTTTTTCCTTCAGTCTGCTCTGTTCAGGGCATTGATCGCTCTTGAGTCTTTGAGGTTGTAGCTCCCATAAACGGGAAAAGTGTTGTGCAGTTCTCTGCTTAGGGTCAGTGTTGCTATTTGATGTGCCATTATAGGAAACGAAACAAAACTGTAAAAGACTACAGAGTACAACCTAGAGCAAGTCTCCAGTCCAAGCCTTATTATAATAAGTATTATTTTCTTGCCCATTGTTGTATTTTAATACTTTCTTGTAATAGGACTGTTAAAAAGGGAGTACACTGGGCTCACTGTATTTTTATATGTAAAGTATATAATTTAAGATAGAAACAAAAGGGGATAAAGTATGCAGTACACCGCATTAGAGCCTGACTGATACATCTGCATTAGCCAATTTTAGCTTATCACAGACACATATATATCAGTATTGGCTTAAATATCGGCCGATAATTAACAAGTAAGTGTAGTAGACAAATTTATTTTGAGGTCATTTAGAAACTTTGTCTTGATTACATACTCATTGTCACTAGAGTTTATTTCCCTTAAAGAATTTTGGTCACAACTTTATTTATTAAATTAAGGGATCCTTACCAAAAATGTTAAAAAATTGGCTGATATATAGTTCAGACTTTTAACTTCTATTTGCATTGGCCAGGCTCTACACTGCATTTGAGATATTAGATGGTATGTTTTATTGGGCCTAAACATTAAAGCGTCAGTTTATGTAAATTATTGAAAAGGAAATGATGTCACTTAGCTCTAGTAGAATCTAGCTACTTTTGGTTTTACTTGGTTTTGAGATATCCATCTCTGAGGTTTCTTTACCGCAATACAATGGAGGTGAAAGGAATTTGGTTTATGGTGCTCATTAAATAAAACAACACCAGAAACGTCTCTTTCCAGAAGCAATGTCCCAGATACTCCAGATATTTCACAGACTACACCATCAACAGTTTTCTTCAGTAGAAAGCAGTTCCTATGGAAACTGATTACAGTAAGGTCTGTATATTATCTAGAGAACCTGGGACATTGCTTCTAGAAGTGCAATTTTTCCATCCTGGTAGCTTCACAAATTATGTCCATTCACCTCCATTGTAATGGGGTGGTAGGAGAAACTTAAGAGACATATCTCTATCTGTCAAAACAAAATTCTCTTTTTGGTTACATACTACGAGAAGCAAGTGGAGAAAAAAAAAAAGTTTTGTAATTTGGGGGAACTGACCCTTCCTCTTCAGAAAATGTGTAAATTAGAAATCAACTATTTATTTCCTAGACCACCTGTGCTGTGTGTAAGTAGTGTGACATGTAAGTCTTTATATAAAAGCAGAGGTCAATAAAGTGTTTGAAAACATATTGAGTCAATTTCCTTTATTTCCTTTAAATCTCACGTTACCAGCATAAACGGTTTTCCTCATATGAGGAAGAAACGCAGAAACAACTCGAAAATGAGTCTCAACAGCGCAACCCCCCACTGGGAGACGACAACAAGAAGCTTGCAACCATCTCCGAGGGATGCTCAGTGATCCAAGCCAATCAGAGACCACCTGGAGGTTCCATTACAGTGCACCATGGGATACTCACTCCACCCCGGGATGAGAAACTGTTTATGGGTATGTGGATGTGCGTGATTGAGTAGAAGTGTATGTGAGATAGACACTGTATGCATGTAACGGTGTGTGAGTGAGTAAAACAGTCAGTCAATATGTGGGAGATTGTTAGGTTTTTGACTCTACAATCCCTGCAATGTAACTCAGCCAAACAATTTTAAAATCTTAAGTTCTGCAAATAAATAGCTCTTATTAGTTATTTATAAGTATATACAAATAGTATAACACTTCTAAGAACACATTTTCTCAAATTAGAGGTATTTTGATGTGTCTTTTCACTAAAACACTACATGTGTAGTGTAAAATATACAGACTGCTATTGTTTGCGCTCATCCTCTATAACCTACAGGCTTTAAAGCAACAGTTTTACGTTTTGGGAAATACACTTAGTCGCTGTCTTGCTGAGAAGATAAATACTACACCAAAGCCAGTAGCTGGTTAGCTTAGCATAAAAACTGGAAAGGAAGGGGGGCGGTTTCATCTGTACAAAAAAAACCAGAGTGTAAAAACAACAAGTTGCAGTTTTACAGGGGGTATGTGCCAAACTATTTCCGGAAAAGTCACTGCAGCATTACAAGAAATAGTCCGGCACATAACTCCCCCATAAAATCATGTGTTGTTTTTCCATTTTTTTTATTTTTTATATATGGGTGAAGAAGTTGCTGTTAGGTAGATTTTGTTCCCTTTGGATAGAGCCAGGCTAGCTGTTTCCAGTCTTTATACCAAGCTTAGTTAAGCAGCTACTGGCTGTGGCTTCATATTTACTCAACACGTACTGTACAAGTGTGGTATTGACCTTCTCGTTTAACTCTTAGCAAGGAAGCAAATGAGTGCATTTCCAAAAATATAAAATGATTGCTTTAAGACACGGCTTGCATGATAAATTAGTGCGTAAACATTTAGGTGAAATTTTGGGGTAAAACACTGAAGATGTAACACCTGTGTCACAATGTGTCCATTGTACACATAAAGGGGACACTGGAGTTGCTGATTTGTTACAATATTCAGCTAGGCAGTGATCTGAATGGTGTCTTGCCAAAGTTGAGATTTAAGTCTGCTCAGTCGTCCTTTTAAGATTGTAAGAATATCTTTGTTTGTCTTCTATTGTCTTTGTGAGTCAGCTGCTAGCTGAAGGGTGGGTGGTCCCAGCGGTCTATCACAGATCAGGCACAGGTTGCAGCAGCAGGGATCGGAGGGCGTACTTCCTCAAGCATTTGAGCTCTCGTATTATTCATATCACTGGAATATTACAGTTGCTTTCCATTCTCACCGCACCCCATACATCCTCCCCCCTGAAGACTGCAAAAAAAAAAAAAAAAAGAGCACAAGGAATACAAGCATGTAGGTTTCCAGGACTTCTAAGAGGTTCTACCACCATTTCTCGTAGAGGATTCTGTCTTTTGTGAGGCCGAAGTCCATGAGGGTTTTTGAAATTGCTTCAATCATGGGTGGGGGTCCGCACAGGAAACACAAAGTCCTCTGTGGGTCCACGTGAGCCCGCAACTCCTCCTCTGTGATTCTCCCGCCTGGGGAGACACAAGGGAAGTCATTCAATTAATCAAGACTCAGTGCTGCGGCACATCTCCCATGTGTCGCTTTGATAGTGCCTGTTCTACATGATGAGAGAGATAAATCAACAAAGACTGACTATGGTAGAATCTGACAGTCACTAGATCATTCCTGCTCAACAAAGAAAAGCGGATGGGTGTTACTTACGCTTGAGAAACGGATGGAGGTGCGGGTCGACATCTGTGCTCTGTTGCGTGACGTTGAAGTCACACGAGAACTTGTCAGGGAACTCCCGACATGCTTCGATGATGGAGCTCTGGGAAGGGAGAAGGCAAAAATACTCTTTAACAGAGTTTCTCCTTACATACTGCAACACACATACTACCACACTGCATATACATGTGGACACGGTTGTACATCTAGCAGAGATATTCAGCAAGTTTCCAAAACGTCTGCACCAGTCAAAAACAGCACAAGAACACACCTTAAAGAGCAGTTCCTGGGTATTCTTGGCGCTGTAGCAGAGGTGGGCGGAGCCAATGTTGTAGTCCCGCCCACCAGAAGCCTGGTTCAGATGCAGCAGATCTGTGGTGTGCAAGAGGATGGAGTACAAGGGGTTGATCCCTACGCCACCAGCTACCAGCAGCAGGTCCACGGAGGGGTCAGACGGCGATGGGTCGAAGAAGAAGTCTCCACCTGTGCGCACGGCCACCCTGGAGCCGACTGTACACTGAGGGAAGAGAGAGTGACGAACATAAAGAGAAAATGAAAAAGACGAAGAGAAGGTACAAGGAGACAACAACAGACTGCTGAGCTTGGTAACTAAATAGACACCTGGGCTCCCAACATTTCTATGCTAAGCCGCTGAAATGCACATTTTGAAATATGAAATAAATTCCAAGAAAAATACTTTAACTATATCAGAGCTTTAGGAAAAAGTAAAAAAAAAACAAAAAACAACAACTTTCAACATGCAGACACACAACAAACCTTGGCTATGGTATGGGTGAAAGCAATTTCTCAAGTTGCACAGAGAAGGTCTTTTGAAGTCATAAAGAGTAGTAAATATGCCTCCACCTGCTATTGTACACACATGAGCACACGTACGCACAACAACGCTCGCGCTCTTAATCTGCTATTATCATCCCCTACACTATTCCTGCTCGCAGAGAGGAGTCAGAGCGCAATATCAAACAAACGGATCATCAAACGAACCCAGAGCAGAGAGCTGTAAGTCTCCGAACACTCAAACACATCACACCGCTTTTCTGATACTTGTTTACATGTGGCGTAGTAGCTCAAAGCTATTTTATTAAGGCCCATCATCAAACACAGAAGCTACAAACAAACAGAGCGGAGTAAGAAAAATAAAAAGCTACCTTTTTGTAGCACGTCCTTGAAGACAAAATACAATGTTGTGCACCGAGAACATCATATTTTGAGAGAGCAAAGACTGAACCAACTTCTCTTCAGCTCTTTCTTTATTTGTATTATTATGCCTTTATTTATGTATCCACACAGCCTTTATTTACCCTGTGTAGGCACAGAATGTCTTGTTCGACACACAATTAAAAACCAGTTCTCGAGTTTCAGGCTTGTCTATCGCAAGTCTACTTCGCTTGTCTTCTCCTACTTTTCAATATTTTCAACTCACCCTTGAAAGCAATCACACAGGACTGATTTAAGTGGTTAATTGTATTATCAAACTTTTAATGTCACTTTTTAGTATAGGCAAGTGCCCACTGCTTCTCCAGGTCGGACAAAAAAAAGAAAAAGAAAACAAATTCTGAAAATATCATCCGACTTGCCATTTTTCCTTTTCACGCTTCACTTTCTAGAATAACCAGTGGTGTGATTATGTGGCAGTCTTCATTTCCTAACTCTATAACACCATTTCTCAACACCCTGATCCTTTTGCTCCACCCCTCTCTCCCTCTCTCTCTCTCTCTCTCTCACGCAATGTAATCTTCCAAACCATTTAACATCCATGTGGACCAAATCTACATTTCTAGAATATTCAGACTCCTCTGCAGCTCTCTGTGTTTTCGATAACTACCATGCTCACCGCGGTGTGGATCCAGTGAGCTGGGGGGTGTTTGGCGTATTTGACAGCGAGTTCAACGATGCCTTCCCTCTGCAGCAAACCCGGGCTGGAGCACATGGAGAAACCTCCCACCTTCTCCACACCGGGGATGAAGAAATCCACCCTGCACACACAACCACAACACACAATTAATTAATCAAATTAGTCAAATGATTTATTACATAAGTGGATGAACTCAAGACTGTGACATTTTGTTTACAGCATTGCAGAAGCTAAAGGTAAAAAGATAAAAAGAAAGAAAAAATATCTGTTCCTATTCTTCACTCTAACAAGACTAAGTCTGACTACTGATGTGTCTCTAACATAACTGCACTGAATGTCATTAAATTTCAACCATTATTGTAATTATTGTGTTTTCAATCAAAAGTTATTCTGATTGTGAATACAGCTGACGTTTCAGATCTAAAGAATAGTTCATTCAAGAGTAAAAACTGAACTTGAACTGAGGGGCACAGTGTGAATGAAGGTAGCGTGGTGCCCTTTGACCTCAACGAAGGGGACAGCCTGTTCCAGAACCCAAGGAGAACAAAAACCAAACCAGATGGAAAGTTGCCTGCTAGTAAGTTTAAACAAAGTGTAGTGTCCCAGTCTTACACCCAACACGGGCGCATCTGTCCATCAACAAACAAGAGCAGAGTACCCCCCCAAAGGAAAACAGCAATGCTTAACAGTTGGGCTAATGTTCCACCAACACAATGACCCACTGTTACACTAGAGAGAGACACTGACTCCACAGCCCTCAAAGGCATCATAAATATGGATCTGCTGTGAAGACGCGCACATATGTTCCACCCACCTCCTCCTCCTCATTCTCCTCATTCTCCTCCTCCTCTCCCACCTGGAGATGAACAACTAAACAGTCCTTTTTTCTCAGAAACACTGAAACTCAAGGATTTCCATCTATTTACATTCATTATCAAGCGCCGCAGGGCAACTGGCTGCCGGTTTTATATCTCACCACCGCCCACCTACAGTATGGGCTCATGTGCATATACTGCATGTGCAGGGTACACTAATTAACATTGGCAGCACTGACTGACAGACTCAGAAAAAGAAGCTCTGCCTTCATCGAAGAAGTATTTAACTTGCTGTTAGGATTATTAGAGTGTGTCTGGAAGTTAGCTTGAAAGCTCACACATTTCCATGCACCAGTAAAAAAATATATATATATAAATAAAACAGGCCACTGTGTCTCAAGCACCTTTCAAGTTAAAGCTTGCAGCATGCATGCAACCCAGTGCAGAAAGCAGCTTCATACACAAACCTATGAGCAAACTTGAGCTTATTCAGTGCCAAAATATTTGAAATTTGAATTGCCGTTTATCCTTATTTGGTAAAAAAAAAAAAAAGCTCTAAATGAGTCATGAGTTTTGATCCTCCTTTTAGATGTTGTTCTACATTTCTTCTAAACAATTTCCTTCTTCAACAAGAATCTTGATCTGGCTCACATGTTGACGGTGATGAAGGATTTTAAACTCTTGTTTACTGTAAAAGTTTTGTGAGAATAAAAAAAAAAAAAACATCGGACCAATGCTAGGATAAATCAACACAATGCCACCACCTTGTGGTTACTACGAGCAGTACAGGCCCTGTGTAAAGACACCAGAGGGATGTTTCACAAAGCACAGTCAGGTAGTAAAATAGATATATTGTATTTTGGCGTTCTGCTTATTTTCTGTTTCAACAAGAAAGTGTTACTGTAGTAACTTCAGAGACAAGTTTAAAAAGGCTAATGTTGCATTCATGTAATGATGGCAGAATGGGCAGAATAAGAAAACACTTGGTTAAAAGGGTGAACTCTGTTCTTAAAAGGTTTATCCATTAAATTTTCTTGATATGTTCATGCCAGCAATGGTGGCTTTACAGCAGCTTTGTCAGATCTGTTTTCACATAAATGTGGGAGTGGGGGAGATGTTGTAAGCCTCGGAAATTCCTGACATCTCTGACTCAACGACGACTAGGAGGGTGATATGAGTGCATTGACAGCTCCTGATTGCAGTCTCGACACTATGACATGAACACAGCATGAGCAAGACTTATCGCTGTAATACTATTGTTACCACAGCTAAACATCTTGAATGAAAACACTGTAATATTAATGCATTTTTAGCATTTCTAATAGAGAGGATGGTAATGAAAACCTTCAACTACCAGACTGCATTCCTGTCTTTATAGGTTATGTAACTGCACAGTTGCCTTTTTCCAATCATAAATTTAGTCACACTGCATTGTCAGCCCTTATTTTGTATCTTGTATTCTTTTGTGCCACTTCTAATTTGAGTAGTGCATTCCTCCAATGTTATTTTAATGCTTGGCAAGATACAAGGCTGCTGACAGAAGCATAAACCTGATTGTAAGCATTTGTCCCAACAGGAGAGGTCACAAATTAGTTTCGTAAAAGCACACCTAAGCCAGAGTAACCTCTCTCACTGGTGCAATACCGCAGGTGTCACAACACAATGTGACAGCGTCTCTTAAGCTCTCAAAAAAATGAGTTGGTGAAAAGGTAACATGAATATCTACTCACCACTGCCCTGCTTTGAAGCTGAAGTCTGGATGGACAGCTATCCTCAAACGTTTCACTGTCTCAGACTCATTTATGATGCCACATACCTCAGCTGGATACACAGCCTGTGTTAGGCAGCCAGTCAAGTACATAACACACACACACACACACACACACACACACACACACACACACACAGAAAAGAGAGCAGATTTAGGAGGTTAATAATCGCAGGAATTGACAGTGAGGAAATAATACTGTTAAAGAGTTGAGAAGAATGTATTCAATTACAAAATATCATCTTACATTTTGTCTGGAGTTGCTCGCCGTTCTCTCTAGATGGTCCATTTGCCTTTTGGACGACATATTTCTTCTAATAAAAGGAGATAGTTGTTGTCATTTGCCTTTCATGTCAAATATTCTCTCACGCTGTGTGTGCCGAGCTACCCCACAGCCTTATGTGACAACAATATTCAAAAAACATCAAGTGGACTTTGCCCTCACCTCCCAGAAGCACCAAACAACTTAAAGGGACAGTTCACCGAAATTAACTTAGTATAACAGATTTTGTTATAGAATTTAAAAATTACATTTGAAAAACTATTGAATGTGAGTGGTGACAAACTTTTCAAAGGGTGATATAGAAAAATCTACACACATTAAATCTGATCTGTGTGGCTATGTAGTGCTGTGAGAGATTTGGGTGAAAAAGTAACCCTTTGAGTTAAAACACACTTTGAAACCTGGCCAGTAGATTCTAATGGACAACTAAGCATTTCTCTGTACAATGTGAAATTACAGTTCAGTCAGTCAGTCAGTCAGGACAGCAGACCAGAGAAAAACAGAGCCGGTACATTCCTGATGAAACTCACCTTGTCTCGGAGCTGGGGCCCCGCAGCCGGCAGCAGAGCAGACCGGCGGTGGGACGCGGGAAGCTTCGGGCAGCGGACAACCAGAAGCAGGGGACGCTCATCGCGACCTGGCTTGATAAGAGACAACAGTGTGAGCTGCCTAGGTCGACAACCGCCATTAACCCTTACTATCACAATACTGGCAGTTCACACACCCCCACCTTTTTCTTACAGGGGTCTTTTCAGTGAATGAATCCGTCGTACAGCAGCTGTAGATTCAACAGTTGCCCCCCCTTCAACAATGTGGTTCAGCTGAAACCGCTCAGGGAATAATCCAGCAACAGCTAGCGCAATGCTTAACATTCATGTCAGGTAAGAGCCTCCAGACCACATCAGTGCCTCAAGACCGCTCTCTGCCGCCCACCGTGGCTGTCTTTAATGGACGAGGGTGAGGAGAATAAGAGGCAGAGCAACTAAAACGCTACATAACGCTCATGATAAAAAGGGACCAGGTGTATTTTTATGATTATTTTAAACGAGGTTTGGTGTAACCTCCTCCGTCGTGCTGCTGCTAGCTCACTGGCTAACGCTGCTGGCTAGTCAATGCCGGTATGTTATTTGACTAATAGACAACAACGAGCTGCTGGTCTCTTTTTCTTACCGAGAGAAGATGACACTCTGTTTATGTCAAACGATGTTCATATTTCCTGCAGTATCTTCGGGATAACCTTGGTCATATTGTGATTACATGACACTAGGGATGTCTTCTTCTGTTTCCTTATTTCAGGTTGCGCTGCGGTTACCGTCTTCTTCTGCTACATGAGGCGCAACTTGGCTTTCGATTTGACCCAGTAGCGCCCCCCTCTGGACAGCTGGCTTGTAGCTACAGTGATTATGGGACTATGTACCAAAGTACACTCAAATCCTGTTGCTGAACCTTAATTGATGTAGTTTAGTAAATTACTCATATTTGCTTTATGCTCATATTTTGTAGGTCTAATTTCATTGCTACCCTATCAATAATACAGGGTTTTGCTGTATTATATTTTTCCACTGTTTTCCTTGTTTAGCAAGTGGCATATAATTGTGCATATACGATGCACCAGCATTTCTTGTTACATTTTTTTATTCACCTATTTTTTTATTATGCTGGCACTGCTTGCACATATAGTGGCATTTATCTATGAGGATGTGAGAACTGCCTTTGATAACGCCTCCCTACTGCCAATCCCTCTATCTGATTACACTGCATTGACTATTGTCCATTGTCTCCAGCACTGAGGCAAAACATCTTGAATTTTCAAAGCCTCAAACTACCTCAGCTGTGTCCTTTACAGATATCAGATGTGTCCTGGTGGTCGTCATAAGAACAGAAAGAGCAGAAACAGAAGAATCAGGTCTTTAAAAACGAGACGATGCAGCACTTGTTGCTCTAAAAGGAGGCAAAGATATATGGGAAAAACAAGTATTTTTTATCCTATATTTAAAGTGTTAGTGTGTGCTTTAAAATAGTTGTAATTTTTCAAATAGAAACCACACATTGACAATGCAACTTGCCACACAGTAAATTATTTTTATTATTTAATAAAGATGTTTATAAAGTGTTTTAAAGGTGATCCTTTACTGCAGCCATTTAAGTAATTAAAGTATTAGATTATGTTTACATTTGCACTGATACAATGACACACACACACCCATGGGATGATGATGTTGTGTAGGGCTTTGCAGTAACAGGTTTACACCAGTAGGCAGCAGAAACAGACAACTGCTTGGAATTGGATCAGTTCAATAGGAAGGGAATTATAGAGACAATCACTTTTGAAAAGGATGTTTAGTAACATTTTTGTATAAATCCTTTATCATCCTCATTTATTAAAATGTTTAATATAATAAAGATTTGTCCTACTTTATTGGTAGCACAATAAGTCCTTCACTGTCTGATTTATTTGATATTTCTAGGTAACTAAAAAAGATTTCCACACCTGATTTTTCACAAGCTTAATGTTTTTAAAGAAGGAGGCTGTGATTCAAAATGACTAAATAAGCTTTAAATTGATATAATTGTTAAAGTTGAAAGTTGTACCAAGCTTTATTTGTATATTAATAACATTTCAAATGGCTACAGGTACTAGAATTTTAGCATCTTTCAGCTAATTGTTTTGGTTTTACAGCCACAGCTTTATTGTTTTTGGTTCATTCTAAACACTCTCATCAACCACCAACAGCAGGCAGAGAGTTTATCTTATCCTTTAGTAAATGTCTTTTTGTTTGTTTTGTTTCGCATAGATGAGTCAACACTTGTTTGTTGTTTTGGCCTTGGTTCACCCTGATTTGTATTTCTTCTGCTTATTGATAAGATTTCACCTTTTTGTAGTAATAAAGGATTTCACTTTAAAGACTAAGAATTTGGATCTGAAACTCTTTGTCCAGGTCCATTTGACCTACAGTAAGTCTGTGCTTCTATAAAATGAGTTTTAACACTTTGCAGCTGATGCCAATCAATTTATTTTTAGATACATAAAAAATTGACCTGACCCAAAAAGTGGTCGAGTGCTACTGGCAGTTCTGGCAACAAATATAACCTATTCATTTTTCCTGATTATCACCAAACATAGACTATGATGAGAAAATATTATACCCAGAAATGTAACAAACTGATAAGCAAGAATATAATTTGGCTCCATCTGGTGGTCAAATAAAAGAGATAGATGTTTTGTAGTAAGAAGCAGCTTGATGAAAAACTTTTCTGACATCAATTCAGCTTCTTCCTCAGGATGCTACTATGTTCAAATCCTTTAAAAAGTGTGGAGAACTTACAGTCGTCCTCTGTGGTAAAACTTTGGTCTTTGTGTTAACAATCATTCACTATTGCTTTGTCTGGGTAAAAAAAGTGTTCGTAGGTCAATCAAAGTTTAAACATGACACTTGCTGTGACCCAGTAACTGTAAACTTAAGTGAGTAAAAGGTTAATGCAACAGTGCATAAAACCTGTAGACACACAAAAAGGACAGTAAGGGAAGCTCTTCATGACACACTTTGTACAATGCTGTGGATGGAATTATATTGTTTTTCAGAAGTTCCTGCTAAAATGAAAGCTTTTGTTTAACTTTCTGTAACTTTAACTTAGTTACATTTGATAGCTTCAGTTATGTCTTGGAAAAAAATATACCAAGCTGTCACATTTGGAAAATCTTTTATCTAACAGTGTGTGACATTTGGAGGATCTATTGGCAGAAATGGAATATATTATTCATAGGTATGTTTTCATTAGTGTATTATCACCTGATTAAATGAACTGTTGTGTTTCTGTTACCTTAGAATGAGCCTTTTATATCTACAGATGCCGCGGGTTGCCTTCCATGGAGTCCACCATATTGAACCGGCATGTTTCTACAATAGCCCAGAACAGACAAACCAAACACTGGCTGTAGGGCCTTTTTGTGTGTGTAGTTTCTCCTACACAATTCATAGCCCATTCTCATTCCCAGGTCATCAAATACAGAAGGCAGCAGTGTTCAGTAAGTTACAATCTGCAACTTAGATGCCACCAAATCCTTCAAACACTCATCCTTTAAACCGGCTTAATGGGATTGTTGGCAAAATGTGTGTGTTTTCAGTCGCTAAAATAAGTTAAGGAAGTCCTTGATGTAGGTCTTTGTGATTGTGTTTACTTCTGGCGTTACAAGGAAATGTTGTCACCAGTAAAATAGAAAGATAACAATAATGACAATTCTCCATGATGAAGGGCAAACAGGCTAGTTTAGGTTTTGGAATTTTGGTTTAAGGTTACAGTTGGAATAAGGCAGTTTAACATCATGCATGTAGTGGTGTAGTTGAAGGTCAAGGCTTATAGAAAGTACAGTTGAGTCAACCAAATGTGTGTGCATAGCTGCATGTTTATATATGTTCTTCTGTTTGTCTGTCTGTTAAGAATAGTACTTAAGAGAAAGACACAGAAAACACAAAGAAAATAGACAGTAACTGTTGGATTCCTTTCTGCATTCCTTTAGTGTCTGCGGTGCTGATCACAGGTGCATTTCAGCTGCTTTACTCATACTTTATTACTCCAGAAGAAGGAAACCGGCTAAACAATGCAATCCTCAAATCAAGCACACAATGCAATGCATCGAAACTCATTCCATTCATGAGAACAGAACTTGGCCTGCTCCACCCAAATGCTCCGCAAGAGACACAATTATTTATTTGTTTAGTTTGCACGATTCCTGCTACAATTTGACCCACGCCACCCTTGTTGTGAGCTGGAGCGTATACATATGTTAACATGTGGTTAAAATGCCCAGAAGGATTCGTCTAAGAAGGAAACCAGGTCTGTTCTTGTGTGTTCGTTGCTCTCCTTAGATACAGTAGCAGCTTACTTCCTTTGAGAGATTTATGTTAGCTGACTCTACCAGTCCAACTGGCTGCCTTCCTGTCTCTTTCCCATGCTTAGCACACCTTGGTTTAACCTGTTGTTCAATGCTGCACAATGACAAATAGAGATTTTCAGGTTTAACACTTCACAATGACTTACAGGACTAGTGCGCATGAGTGATGCAAGCAAATTATCGTCATCACACACAAAAACACGAGCGTAGACAGGCGTACGTAGTGTGCATCTCAATCAACGTAAGTATTTATGCATGGCTGAATGAGTCACTTTGTTGTGTTCAGTATGTCTCTCAATGCTAATATGTCACAACCTATGACCTTATAAATAGCAGCTATAATTATAAATATCATGATCAGGCTTTTTTGAGATTTAAAATGATTACTGACACAAACTGCATGCTGATAATAATTGCATTCCAGTTACAAACAATAAATAAAAAGAAAAGTTTGACTTAATGTATCTGCCATAAATTGGACAATAGTAAAAAAAAAAACATACAAAATATTTTTTTATATTGACAGTCAAAAAGTAGCAGTTTCAGAGCAGATTATCTGTATTTTAAAGCAACCAAAAGTAAACTCTCCATCCTTGTGTATGGCTGGTTCTCCCTCACAACAGTGTGTGGTTGTTAGGGAGAAGAAAATGTAGATTCAAACAGGTTGTAATGAAAGTAAGTCAACTATTTCCGAGACAGAAACAGATACAGGTGGAGGGTATTACTGCACCTTATGCAATCCCTAGTTACTGTTTCAATATGCCTCTACAACGTCACTTAGTTTTCTACACACATTCCCCACATACCTCTCGGTCACAATGGGCAAATACTCAAATTTCACCCTGAGGAAATCCAAATCCAAAACTGGAACATGTTCAATGAGACATATGGTCTCAGGGTGGGGAGAGTGATGTTTGTAGTGCGGCTCTATCGAAATGTCAGCATGGATATTTTCTTTATCTGTATAAGTTAATGATCGACTTTCAGTGAGACTACCTGTGTTTAATGAAGGGGAAAGCAGATTGGGAGATATGAGTTGGAGAGGCAGAGCAAAACTGAGAGGAGACATAATAAGAAAATATCCTGTGATTGTTGTGATGTTGTTTAGCATCATAATAAGGATGCTGTGGGTGAGAAGGATATCTCTGGGTTTTCACATCGCCCCTATACTCCGATAAGATGAGATTTTTTTATCTTGAGCATACATCTTGCACATGAGCATAATGTGTGTACATGATAAAAGAGATCACCATACAGGACTTTAGGGGCTATGTAGGTTTTATATTCCTGGCTGGACAAAACTCTGTATCATTTTCTGAGCAATTTTCACTTTTTTTTACAAACCAATAAATTAATCTGATGATCAGAAAAGAAATCAACAGATTAAAAGATAGTGAAAATGAGTCATCACTAGTTGCCAACCTAAAATGACTGTACGGTCATCTGCATCATCTACAACATGTAGATCCATTTATGTGTGGAAATATGTATACATTTGAGTGTCCATTGCATTTTTGCTTACCTGTATGTGTGCGCAGGTAGGAAAAAGTACAATGAAGCACAGCCTTCTGTGTGTGGTGGAGTGTGCCAGTGAGTTTCGACTGGGATGGAAGATGGGAGGTGAGGGAGTCCCCCAGGTACGCAGGCCACCGACAGCTGCCGGAGAGAGAGAGAGAGAGAGAGACACGATACACATTCCTGTTACCACAGCAACTTTCACTCTAAACTTTGGAGGAGGGAGACAAAAGGCATTCCCTGATTCCTCCCTCCTATCTCTGTTTCTGTATTATCTCTGTTTTGCTGCTCGGCCCACACTGGGTCTTCCCTGTTGGCACCGAGCCCCACAGAAACCATTTCTTTCATTCCAAAAGCATACAAAGAAAATCAGCTTTCTTAGCATTAGGTAATGTCTAGGAGATATTGATTTCACCTAAGAGGATCCAATGACACTTTGAAACTTGGCTTTTACACAATAGATAGTTTAGAGATAAAAGATAGTCCTTTTTGTGATGCATTTTAACCCCACACTAATGTGAGTAATGTACAGTGTGTCCCAAGCAATTAAATAATCATTGATATTCCTATTTTTAATAAAGTTTGTATTATTGAGATCTTGCAGTTTGGTGTGTTGTATGTGTCATGTTTTTATAATGTGTGTGGACAAATTTAATTGTAGACAATAAAGTTATATGTTGTATCATATCTTTATGTATTGTATGTTATTCTACATAATAAGTTTAATCTCATGATGCAAACCACCACTAATTTACTTAAAAACAAATTCGAACTCACACTGTAAAACTACTTAACTGGCTACCACTTTCTTATAAAGCACCCTTTCTAACATTTGTAAGTTGTAACTAATACACATTATAAGCCATCTAAAGCAATAACTTGCACCTTGTGAAAAACCCCTTTGGCTGGTGTTTACCATCCTGGTTTGTGATGTTACAAGTCATGTCCGTATGCCTCTTAAAAACTGATTTTCAATGATTGAAGAGAAACTTTCTACTTTCAGCAGATGAATGTGAAAACATCTTTCTAGTGTCAAACTCTGCACATACATCATTCTGCACAGTGAAGCTCAAACATCCAACTGTAGGAACAAGAAGACAAACATACTTATAGCTGTATTTTAGATTATGGGATTGTTACATATTATAATATTCATATCAATGCATTTGAAAGTAGCATTTTACTCTCTTTTAAGTATGCTATATACTTCTGGCTTGTTCATCTATAACAATGCATCTTATTTCACAATATCATCATGGAGTAAAAAATATCTCCCTCTGAGATGAAGTGAGGTAAAGGCAATAAACGTGAAATGACTATTTAATACTACTGACTCAAGTAAAGTACATTATTGTATAAGTACTTATTAGTATATGACTATAGATATGACCGCTTCTCCAGTGAGAAACTTATGACCCTATATTACTGTAAGGACTACACATTTTTATAACTTAAAGTTTGTTAAAGGTAAACAAAAAGTAGAAAGTCATTTATCTAACCTGGCAACCCAAGAGCATTTGTAAATTATTTTTAACAAATAATTTATTAGACAGTGATAGCCTATCCTATAAGCAGGATTTAAAACCTGTTTTACTTAGATTTACTAATTGCTTCTCATCATAAACACAACTGAGTATTGCCTCTAATAATCTATAGCCTATCTTTATATTGGATATATGTAAATCTATACATAGCCTACTAGTTTTCAGGTGACCCAAACTGAACATATAATTGTGGCGGTGTCCTGTTCATGTGTCATTCTGAAAGACAGACAACTACTACATAAAACCTGAACAACAAACTGACACCAGAGTTGGGCTTGAAAGTATAGTAGGAGGACAAAAAGAAGCATCCGGAAGTACCCCAGCAGGTGAAACTGGCGCCAGACCAAAAAGCCTCCCCTCACTTAACGTGAACAGTAACAATTGCCCGTCCGGTGCAGTAACCAGAAGACTCCCGGTTTCCTCCTTCCTGTGATAACTTCACACCATGTAGCCTAATTGCATGAGTACAACCTGTTTTGCCCGTTGCCTATTAATACCATTAACTTCTCTAGATAAAAAAACTTACAACCCCATTCCACTCCTTGGCATGACAATGTTAGTAACACTAAACTACTGGGCGTCCCAAACATTTGAACATAATTAGGCTCCGTGGTTTGGGTTGGGTTTGTCCGATACAAAAGGTTCTTTTTTTAAACCAGTCACTAAAGAGGCGCACGCTCCCACGGGGTATGTTGCCACGCAACCACAAGCCCCGCCTACCATCGCAGTGGCTTCACCTGAGCGGGGCTCACGTGACGGACAACGAGCGTTCATCCAATCAGGAGTGAGGACAGGTGCTTCGAGGTGAGAGTTTCGGAGGCGGAAACCTGCTGGTTCAGTAAACGTAAGCCGCTCCTTATAAATGTCTCAATTCATCTGTACTTTACTCAAGGGTTGTCGAAGAAGTGTAGAGTTATTTGACGAGAGCAACAGAAGAAAAATTCATCTTTTTGGAGGTGGGAGATGTGAGGAGGCAGCACACCTGGCTCGTGCGTAAAATGGATACTGGTGCGACCCCGTGAAACACTGCTGCTGTCACTATATAGCTCCACCACTGAAGAAGAAGACACTGACACTGTCCTGTGGATTTATATTTCAGCACTGTCAAAACTGTGACATTTACACTTTGCTTAAGGTCGTTCAATTGTTCACAGCACCTGTTGAAGCGCAGGTGAGTGTCCATGAGAACTTTTTTTGCGCATTGTTCACCTGTGAATCACGGCTTGGGTTGCTCTTCTGTTCTCACGACTCAGTAAACCAGTTTTACAGTAAAGGGTAATCATGGTTACACTACTAGTTATTCTTAGGATTAGTTGGCAAGAAGTTGTCTCACCAGTGTGAAATGGCTGTCACAGAGCTGAAGTAAAATGTCATTTAAAACACTTTCTAATTTAGATAAACACACAAGGAAAATATGATTTGTGATGATTATGAGGGTGAAGATAAGGAGCATGATAAATATTAGAACAATGAATGTTTATAGGGATAATTTTATGTCTTACTACAGAATAGGTAAATTAGGAGCCAATTAAGAGCATGACACCAGGTGATAGAAGTGACCACACGGATGTAATTACATTACTTAAACTAATACTGATAAAGAGGAGACCATCCCAGCTACAGCTTAATCATGGCATCTGTTCCTTGTTCCAGTTCCCTCCCTCCAGTCAAAGATGACAACAGAGAGGAGCCCATGGTGGAAGGCATTCCTGTCAAAGAAGAAGGGCGGAACCCCCAAGGACACCGCTTCAACCCAGCCCTTTGGTCCAGACTTTGACCCTTTTGCACAACAGGCTGAGAAGCCCAAAGAGCCCGCCGCAGCAGCCCCCAAGACCACGGGCAACCAGTCCCAGCTGTCCCAGCAAGAGTCACACAAGAGCTCCAGCCTCCTCAGCGACGACACCTATGACGACTCCCACCTGGAGTCGGTGTTCAACGAGCAGACCTGTCGCAGGAACATGAAGGTGTCACGCTCAGGTCGATTCAAGGAGAAGAGGAGGGTGCGCTCGAGCCTTCCCCTGCAGGAGAAAGAGACAGGGAATGGGGCATCAGGGAGAGAGGACATACGATGACGGTGAGGAGGAGGAGGTGATCAAAGACTGCTTTGCAGAGATGCTTGAAGAGAAGGAGAAGGAGTACATGAAGATGCTTCATTCCTTTGAGGCATACCAAGAGGTCTGCTGTATGTTGGTTATGATGGTGATAATGAAGATGAAGAGGAGCATTTGACTTTTTAGCCCAGTACTGCAAGAATAAGGTTATGTGGTACATGAAATATTGGAAAGTTTTGGACATTTTTGTTGATGGACTTCTGCCAGAGGGCCACAATGATGACTTGAAAATTGATTATATTTTTTCTTCATCGTGATTATTGAACCATTTTGCCAACCATACCCCATAATCAAAGCCCTAAAGAAGAGATACAGTAGTAATGCATCAAGTATCTAATATATAGTTAATGTCCCACAGTGTCACACTAAGTGTTGCCATTAGACAAGTCATAAAATTACTTACAATTACGTACAAGGCACAATCCTCCTCTATTTTCTGTTACTACTCCAGATAAAGTGTGACATGCTTCAGGAAAATATTGTTTATAAGATGTTTACATTATTTCTGTAACAATAATAATAATAATAATATATGTTTTATAATGAAGGATAGGTATAATGCTCCTTTTAAGAAAAGCTTTTACAAAAAAATGTTGATTCTAAAGGGTTAGAAGGATGTTTATGAAGGTGTAAAGTGATTTCATTATTATGTGTAAACAAAAATAATCAGCTAGTGGAAGAAATTAAGGAATGCTTGTGAGCAGCTTTTAGTCAGATGCACAACACTTGCCAGCAGAATGCATACAATAATTTGAATGAAGGATGAAATCCAGCCTGTTTGTGATATAAACAAAGCTACTACTGACATTGAAGTAAGAAGCTAATGTTGTCATATCCAACTGAATGAGATGTGGCCACGTAGCTACGGTTCCAGCCACTAATGTAGCTAGCTTTGCAGGGACTACGGTATTTTTGGACCACCCGTGAACACTTGAATGAAGGCAGAAAATATGAGAAATAAATCTGATAAGTGCTACAACTGATTGTGTGTGTGCATGTGTGCTTCATTATCCTGTTCAATCACAATCTAATGACTGGACAATGCAAGGATCACTTTCAGGTGTCCCCCCCCCCCCTTTGAAAAATGTTCTTGAGACAGATACTAGTGCATACTAAAATGAAAAAACATACATTTTACAGTTAATGGGTCACAGAAAGTCATGTAAATACAAAATAAAATGTGCACTTCAAAACAACACATAAGCTAAAGGTGCAAAAGATGTACAGAGAAGTCACAGCAGTCCTCTTGGCAGCCATGTTGCTGCCGGATAATCACTTAAGGAGGAAAAGAAGTGGGCCCAGTGTGTGATTATCACATTGTCTGAAAAGAGCAATTACAAGGGATTAGTGCCACTTATCTGTAGAGTCTGCAGTATATGTCAAATGCAAGCCTAAATTACATTCTTCTGTAAATTAAAGGGAGGAGCACGCTTGTGTCACTGCATTCCTCAGTTGTTAAGGTTTGAGGTGTGTGTGTGTATGTCACTTTAACGTAACAGGGGTAATATCCCAATGCACCTTCTATGGCTATAAAAAATACATTATGATTTTCAGATTTATTGCATTAATATAATCAAATGACCTCACATCAGCTTGTTAATTAAGATGCAGTAAGTGAAACAGGCTATTGGCTATTGGATAAAGATGACTTGTAATGCTATGTTTTCAACACAAGAGGGCGGAAATGTCCCACAACACAGCCAAAAAAATAGAACTAAAATATACTGAGTTTGAAAAAAACAACAACAATCGAGTGAGATGTTGTTACAGAAGAGTCACTGGTGCAGACTCTCAGTTCTGTTCTTCATGCATACATAATTCCGTTATATTTTATCCCACAGGCGTAACTCAAGGTGAGGGAAAGTTTCTTCTCAACTTCAGCATGAACTGAGGGGATGATACCCTGCCTCTGCGTCCCTCCATTGGTCCCCGTGTTGAGCGTGGGGGCCGTAAGGTGTGGCCTTGCACCGCTCGCCTCCTTCAGTGCGCTCACAAGGGAATAAACAGCAAGAGCTATAAAGGCACCATTGTGCGGGGGGGACCACTATCGCATGTTTTCAGCTTCTGCTATGTGGACTCAAGTATGAAGTGAAATAAAGAACTTTCCGGGAGCTTTTTGAAACTCTTCCAGGAGCACAAACGTCAGATAAGTGGTGTCCTCATTTGACTAAAAATAACTTGGAAACTTTCTCACCGGCCCGCTATGAGGAGCGCACCATGAGGCCAGTTTGCTGTGCTCCATCTCACTGAAGCTTGCCCTGCAAACAGGTGGATTTCGGATATTTCGTGAAGGTGAGATAATATTTATTCTCTGCACACTCATGTGACAGGTGGTTGTTCTTATTTCTACAAAATCAGGCGATGAAATCTGTAAAAATAAGGGGGAGACATAAGCTCCAACAAGAAGTGATTACAACAGATAAGCTGTGTTTGTTTAAACACCTTTAATTTACCCTGTTACTGTGAATCCAAACACCTGAAGTATCGGGTGTACCTAGCTCTTAATGTCAAGGTTTTTCTGTTTCAGTGGATAGGTAGTGAGTCTATTTTAAAGGACAAAATAAAATAGTATAGTAATTTAGCAACTCATTTTGTGGGTTTCACACAAAAGTTACAGAAAAACATTTAGAGTGTAGAAAAAACTAGACACACTTTTAACCTTTTAATCGACCTATCTATCTAACACTCGTCAGCTTTACTTCCTCATTGTGTGTGGTCCAGACGCACTGCAAGATCACATTACACAGAAAGTAGCATATTATTATTACACCAAAGAAGGACATATTTCATGTTTTATATGTTATATTAGATATGCATGACTAAAAATAGCTATGATGTTATTGTTTGTTTGCCAAAAACTCATTCATAGACAAAAAAGTATGTTATCTTGCTTAGTGGTGTTACTTGTGTAAAACTCCAGTCTGAAAATCCATTGTATTTAGTTGGGAGGGGACATGCAGTGTAAAAAGAGAGCACATAAACATCCATTGCAATATTTCACAATGATTTGCAGCTGGGTCTCTGAGACCCCAAACAGAAGATATCTTCTGTTGTGGACTTCTGAAACATGTCATCAGTTCAAAATCAGGCCTTCAAGCAATTCTCATAAAATCAGGAACAGATGATTAACTATGTTTGTAATAGTATACATTATATTTACATCCTCCCCATTGATAATGGAGTTTCTTTGTGTCATATCCTCATGTCAGTGAGGTCAGCCTCAGCGACGTTTTGCACGTCTTTCACATAAAAAGTGTAGAAACCCCTTGTTAAGGCTGCAGCAGCTGCCACTTCCAGCTGCTTGTGTGCGTGTCATCAGATTGTCGTTGTTTCAGGAAGAACAAGATGTACTACAGGTCAAAGGAAAACGACAACTGGTGTGAGAGGTGCATTTCCACTCAGTGTACCACCTGTTCTTCTAAAGCTCAGCTAACCAGTGTCTAGCTTTGCCCCCCTTTACAAAAACTTCACTATCAGTGTCACAGAGGCTGCTTGACACAGATAGAAAGATAGAAATAGCAACGCAGGACAGTCTGCCAGTTGACCAAATGGGAGGCATGAACTGTACACACACACACACACATAGAGACAAGAGGGACCGATAAATAGAGATTTAACAAAAACAGGTTCTGTTCTGTGTTTTATTAAATTGCTCAGGAGGAGCATGTGCAAATTCCACAGAGAATGAATGTGCACAGACCTCGGGCTGTTTTCAGTCTCTCACAGTCACTGAGGCCAGCTCGTCAAGAATTTATGATGACAAGAAGTTTGGGTGGAGGTCTCAGTTACTGTCACTGTGGATCATTTACTAGCTGAGTTGGTAACGACATGTGGAGACTGAAACACGGTGAAATAATCCTCGACATGAGCTGTAGGCTACCTGGAAAGCTACTGTTTGGCCCGTGGTGTTTATCACCTTGATTACCAAACCAGCTGGTCTTGATGACAGAACCCCCATCCTGTATATGTTTAGTATAAAAAGAGAGAACAATGTGTGTGCACGCTGCAGCACTTTCCTGTGGAGTTTCCTCAATGTGTTTTCTAGTCACTCACTTCAACGAAGGCCTTTGGTCAATGAGCGACTGAAGGATAGAGTCCAGTACTTTTCACACAACATGCTCCATTGTTCCTCTCCCAAGTCCCGCCACAGGGCATTGTGGGAAGAAGAGGAGGACAGGGGTGGAGGGTGTGTGTCAGATTTCTTTGGGGAGGATGGAGTGCTGTTTCCTGTTTTGCACTGTACGGTGGTGAAAGCTCTTCCTGTTCAGGGAAGAGGGTAGGAGGTCATCCAGTGTGCCCCTTAACACAGAAGCAGCTTCTGCCATGCAGGACAAAAGGGAAAAAATCCTAGAAGGTGGTCTGTGGCTGCAGTGCGTGAATAGGATGGAGACTGTGTTTGTTTCTGCAGGTATCTGAGGCCTCAGCATGCCAGTGCCCCCTCCTCCCCCTCCACCTCCCCTGGCTCCCCCACCACCCCCACCGCCCAGTGCTGCGCTACCACAGGTAAGACTGTGTGTGAGTCTGACTCTCTCTCTCTCTCTCTCATGCAGTTGTAAACACTAACTCCTGTCCTTCTCACTGACCATCAACCATCACCTGGCGGTTATTTGCATTATTGATTGAGGTAATACACACACACACACACACACACACACACACACACACACACACACACACACAAACACAGAGTAGGGCAGACAGTAGACTCTCAGTAGCAGAAGAGTGTTAAGTTTCCACAGCAGGCACACAGTGTCCTCATGTTCAATGAGTTGCCGCTGCCAGCAAACAAGACCACACTGCAGAGACACATCTATAATCGTTAGTCATAGTGCTTCTCAATGTGGGCTACATTCACTAAAATCATCTTCTCCCCTCCTGTTTCTCTTCTTCTTCTCCCCCTTTTAATGTCTTCCTCACATGAACTCTGAATGATTTCACTGTACCTTCTTGTTTTGTTTTTCGTGTCTGTTTAGCATAAGGGCTGACGGGAAGTACAGTAAAAGAACAGATGATGATCCTCCTGTGCAGTTTACTTGTTTTTATTATGTCACAAAATAGTAAAAGATGCCAATTCAATTTCCCATTGTTCCAGATTCTTCAAATATCTGGCTTTGTCTGACCACCAGTCCAAAACCCAAAGACATTCAATATACAATAATATAAAAGAGAAATCAGCAAACGGTGGTCGCCATATTTTTCATGATAAATATAATAAATTATTAATTGATTATCAAAATTCACAATTTTCTGTCATTTGACAAATTGTCATTTGGCACTAATACTTAGCATCTGAAGTGGACCCATAAGACAGGACACATACTGTATAGGGCAAAACATTGGTCAGTAAAGCTGTTTTCTTTGTGTCTGTGTGACAGTGTCCATCAGAGCCTCCTAAGCCCCAGTCTGGTGGAGGAGGAGGTGGAAGGAATGCCCTGTTGGCCGACATCCAGAGAGGAGCCAGGCTCAGGAAAGTCACACAGGTCAACGACCGCAGTGCCCCATCCGTTGATAGTAAGAGCAACATCTTTATCATGCTACGAAAATGCACATCCACTGTAATTCTGTCTGTTGAGCGTAGAGGAAGGAGGTTAAATGGTGTGGTAAAAATAGTGGGGAAAAACAGGAGGGCAGAAGGTAGCGTTTAGTCGTGTAGTTCATTGGGGATGTGTTGTTTCTCTTTGTGCTATATTTGAGCGTAGATACACACACATACCAAGTGCACACTTCAGGAAGGAATGCCCTACAGCAGATAAGGATGCTGGCAGAATAGGAAACTACCATAAACAGGGACAAAGACAAAGACTCTAATACTTCAGAGTATCAGAGTCTACTCAATAATGTGACCTTATGAGAAATGAGCTGAACTTACATGTTGACATTGGTGAGTAAATAGTACAGTAGTTTACAGTAGCATTGTTACATGTATGGAGCCAGGCCAGTTGAAACAGACCGCTCTGTGTGGTGAAAAGGTGTGTAGTTAGCCCTTGGGGACATAATTTGATTTGGGTGGTGCAAAATGTACTCATGTTCCTGCCTGAATTGCTGTCAGCTTCATTTATGTTGTCTTTCATAATTAGGTACAAAATTCCCACGAATGCAAAGCCCATTTTGCACATAAAAGACTGTGAAACAATAATCTTATGTATGAATGAACTCTGTAATGAATATGTGATGGATATATAATGATTCTGTACTGAAGACTATACTAAATGCATGCTGATGTACTGTAATGTTTTGTTCCCCAGAGCCCAAGGCCAGCACTGGAGATGTTTCCAGCAGTGTTGGTGCTTCTCAGGGCTCATCAGCAGGGACTGCACCCATGGGACCCTCTTTGGGTGGGCTGTTTGCTGGAGGGTTCCCCACTCTCAGGCCTATAGGTCAAAGAGACTTAGCAGGGAAGACCCCAGGTTGGTGCATAATGTCTTGCTCTTATGAAATCTTTCTTTATTTGTGGTTTGATCATCTAAATGACTCTTCCTGTGTGTGTGTGTTTGTGAAAAGTGTCGCGGTCGAGCTCCTCTGTCTCCCTGAAGCCCCTGTGGAACCCCCCCTCACCAGCGGACATGAGCATCATCCCTGAGCCTCACAGGACGGCGGAGCTCCGAGGCTCCGTCCACCGTCCGCTCGCTGCGTCGTCCTCTGCTCCTCCCTCCCCCTCTCACAGCAGCAAGCACCCGCCTCCTTTTCCGGCTTCCCCCACCACCTCCTCCCCCCCTGCCCCTCCCTCCGCTCCTCCCCCCACCTCCCCCACCTCAAGCCTTCCAAGACCGGCCAGCTAACAGGCATCCGCCACTCCCCTCCTGCCCTCCTCCTCCGCCTCCGTCCCAGGTTACCAAGCCCACCTGGCTCCCTATCCAGCACTCCCACCACACCACTATCTCCCAGCCTTCCACTCCTCCTCCACCTCCTCCTCCTCCACCTTTCCAACCTCCTTCAACTGTTCCAGGGGACCGCTCCTCTGGCTGCTTCCACCCTCTGCCCCCCTCCCCAGTCCACTCTGAACCTTCTAGGTTCCCCATCCTGCGGGACAGCCCACTGGGACCTCCTCCACCACCTCCTCCACCCCCTCTCCCAGCTTCTTTTACCCCTAGCTGCCCCTCCACCCTCCCGCCTCCACCACCCAAGCTTGCCCCATTGCCCTCCCCAGCCATGCGCTCTCTGCCTCCCTCGTACCCCTGCAACGCTCCCACCCGACGTCCGCCTGCTGTGCCCAGAAGTGCAGGTAGGTGGATCCCAAGATGAGGAATTGTAATTTTTGCAAGGTGGATGAAAAAGGACCTGCTGTCATATTGTTTGGCAGTGAGCTTTCCAATGCAGAGGTGTTTTTCACTCGTGTTCAAACACAATGTACAGCCATGATTGTTGATAATAAGATGGAGCTAAACTATGAAACTGATTATGTAAAAAGGCATAAGAGAATGTGTTAGATATACAAGAGAAATTATTTTTAGTAGTAGTTCCCAACCTGACATTTTTGGGAAACCTACAAGAGTGTCGCAAATTAAATCTGAGGGGTTGGGAGAGGATTTTTATGGTTAGGACGAGATAATTGATTCTGTTACACAAAATTAGATTAATTTCTTTCTGACTTTTATCAAATCTTTTCTCTGTTTTTGTGACATTCTGTTTCATTTCTGTAGAAATTGTTCAAATTAGTCAATTCTAGATGATTAAAAACTCTTTGGTAGAACTGTTCACAGGGGTTATAGGATGTATACTGAACATACACAATACATGTATCTCATATTGTTTGAAATGTACATGCAAATGGCTATATTATTCATATGTAATTATACATTTTACAACATACAGTTCAACAACATGTTTAGGGGGGAAAAAATATAAAAATATTTGTAGTAATTGCTAGTTGTGCGTTTTTTCCAACCAAGTATAGGTTAGAAACTGCTGCAGCTGTTGCAGCTAGTCATTAAAGCCAACAGAGTACGTGTTGTGTAAAAAAGTGTGAATATGGCCTCTCTGTCTCAGTAATCATAAAAGGTCATGTTGGATTTGGACTTAATTTTCAGGCTGTAGATTTTATTGCTGATGTCTGACACCCCTCTGCTCTTGTCGACCATGGCAACAGGTATGAGTCGTCTGGCTCCCCCTCCAGCTCCTCCGGCACGTTCCCCCTCTACTGAGCTGTCCAGCCGCATTCCTCCACCTCCACCTCCACCTCCACTGCCTCCATCAAGTCTCAGGAATGGACACCTGCACAGCCTCGGTGAGACTATGTGCATCTTGCAAATATATATCTGACATTTTAGAATACATTTTGTGTATTTTTATATCCAGTTTGACTTGAAGAGAGCAGTGGTACAATTTCATTTTTGTTTTAATATTGCCTTATTTCCTCGATCATCATTAGAGCTGTAGTGTTGTTCCAAAATAATAAGGATAAAGTGCAAGAAAAAGTAATTTCCCCACACACTAAGCAGTAGAGATTACTAGTTTGTAAGGATGACTTAAGTTTTGAGTTAAATTGTTTTGTGCCTCACCGCAGTTTTCATTGCTTGTGGAATACATTATTATGTTGCTCTTATCTCTTCTTTCATTTTATGGGTTTGTATATCTGTGTGGATAAGAGCACTGCAATAAATTGTGATTTTTTTTGGAAGAAAAAAATGAGCTTCTTTAGAATTTTATAGAGCAAAAGTACTAGAGGGAAGGAGACAAGAGAAGTTTTGTCATATAAGGGTGACAAAGTGACTTGAGTTTATTGTTGAAGAGGAAGATTTGGGCCTTTGATTTAGGTAGAACTTGATTAACTTTGTATTTGAAAAAAAAGGCACAAAATGGCAGCCTTTAATTGCATCCTTACTGTACATCTACCTCGAGCAGATGATTTTGAATCCAAGTTCCAGTTCCACCCTGTAGAAGACTTACCTCCTCCTGATGAATTCAAGCCTTTCCCTCGGATCTATCCCAGCAAGGAAAACAGAGGTAGCAGCAAAAGTACACTAATTGTTTCTCATCCTTACATATAACTTCAGTATCATCTTTCGAGTCTTCCTCTTTCCTCTCTCTTACAGTGAACCCCAAACCACCTGGGATGAGGACATACCTCAGATGAGTCAAGGCCTCACCCTGCCCACCCTCCTCCACACACACACACACACACACACACACACACACACACACACACACACACACACACACACACACACACACACATCAGGAAGTTCAATCTCAATCTCAAACTCAATCCTCCTCTTTCCTTCTCATGACAATAGCATAACTGCCATGGACTCGTCTGGATGTAAGTTCTGTGTGTGTATGGGTGTGTTTTTATGCGAGTGTCAAACAGGGTCCCGCCTCATACAGACTACGTGACCTCAGACCTTTTCCAGTGTGGAATGTTTTGAATGTGTGTGAGGAGGAGGGCTCTCCCTACTCGTGCTCATGCACACCATGGACAGTGTCTTCCACTAGCTATATTTAACATGACTCTTGACACAGTCTGCATTTCACTATCTGTATACAGAATCTAATATTTTGATTTTATCTCTTAACTGACTTTTATATCAGGATGTCATGGTCTGTCCCCTTACACAGTAGCACTTTTAAAGTCTGCATCCAACCCAGAAGCATGATTGTAAAGCTCTTTTAAAGACCAGCAACAACTACTACAAGTAGGAAAGTTACTTTACTGCAGTAGGTAACTTTAAAAAAATAATAACTTTTTGTCATATTTGCTGAAACTTTAGCTATATTCTGACCATGGTGCATTAGACAGATAATCTGTGAAAAAGTCAAGTTCTTCTGTCTCCTCCTAGTGCTCTGGGTTTTTGAAACAATCCACTGCGCCTGAATGAAAACAACCAATCCGAACAGAGAAAGATGATTGTTGAGTGTCATTGCTAGGTCTCAACTATCTTCAAGCCACCAACCCAAAGCACCAGTATATTACGACTTGAGAATGAGTGTGTCTTTCTTGAAAAAAAAAACGCTCCAACGATGTTCTCCCTGCACTTTTCTTTTAAAAAAAAGCTAGACAATCCTCTCAAGATGTCATCTGTTTCCCTTTGTTTTGGGAACTCACTGTTAGCAAATAAACCTCATGTGAATTTTTTATTTGTAACCACTCACTTGCACTGCACGATATGCAAACCTAGGGGGTTCTTAAATCTTTGTACATATAGTGGTGTTCTTCTGTGTTTATGTAATTGTTTTGTTTTTTTATAAGTAAAATAACAAATGAATCCATAAAAGTGTAAAAGAAATATATTATTAGTAGGATTATGGGAATGCATCTGTTTTAAGTTACACCATTATGAATCGATAATGAATGAGATATAGTGTTTCCTTTCTCCCAGTGTATTAACCAATACTAACACCTGTGAAGACAGTGCCACCTGCTGGTTCAATGTGTAAAGTATTACAAGGTGTGACCACCAAATAAACCACAGTATTTTGTTAAGAAAGGTGTCACTTTATTGATCACATTGGTTTTAAAATAGAGACCGACATTAAAACCTCCCTAAGAACAGAAGAGATTATCTTAATCTTGATGTGTTTTTGTAAAAGAAGTTATCCCCAAAGTTATAGAAACAGGACAGTCTAGATTCTAGTCTCTCTGAGGGAACATTTTCTGGTTTAACACTTAAAAATAACAAGTACAGCTAATCTCACTTTGCCCTGACAATTTTGTCAGCGGAGAGAATTTGTCATTATACAAATATGTGTAAAATGTAAGAAGGATTTAAAACGTAATATTTCTTCATGTGCATTTGAGAAATCAGAACAAGGCTGCAGAGCAGACTGACTATCCTTTCTGCTTGGTATTGCAGTGTATTCATGTGCAATATGACTTTCTCACATATAGTTTCCCCTTTAAAATGCAGGCTACTCTAATAACATAAATAATGGCCAGATTCCATTGAGGTGTTCGAGTAGTGTGCATACTGAAATGGAATGGAGCTTTTATGTTATTAGTTACACCTGCTCATTCTGCTATTAATAATGTCATAATGTCTGTCATTAAATAGTTTTATTTGTTTAAAATTTTATTTTGGTTTCTAGGTCACCTGCATTAATCTGGTAGAATTTCCCTTAATTCCACAGCCAAATTTAGCATCTATATCTTCTTGCAGGATGAACAGCCACTACATGCATTCACCCCTTTTCTTTTACCACAGATAAACCTGCAACCAAATGAAAATACAGTCTTCAAAAGGTTTATGCAAGATGAACCATTTTACCCTGCTCTATTTTTTTTATATATAAGTCTGCTACATAAGGTTTGTAAAGTACCTGTGAATGAAACAACACACACAAAAATGCAGACTTGTTAAAACAAAAAATAAATGAAATAATCAGATTCAAAAAACCTGCTCGCTCAAATCCCACCACGCAAATCTTCACACAGGAGGAGTTTACATGTTACACACCACGCAAACACAATGCTTCTATAAAACGGAAATACCTTTAGGTAACCTGAGAGAGCGTTTGCAATAAACTCCAAAGTATTTCCACCATTAACTTATAAAAAGACTGCATGAGTGAGCTGTGGCACAGAAAGAGAGCTTAAAGTTCATCGTGCTTGTAAGTGAACTCTCTGGAGGATATGAAGCCGTCTTTGTTCTCATCCTCTTTGGCAAAGATATCCTCCACCATGTTCTCATGCAGAGTGTCGTTGGGAGGGTAGCCGTGACGCTCAAACTCTTTCTTCAGGTATTCTTTCACCTGGGAGATGGGGTGAGAGTGAGACATTTACAATTAAATAGAACAAAAATAAAACATCTGAATTGTGTTGAGACTGACAAATATATCAATTTCCAGTTTCATCCTTTTAATTAAGGTCTAAAATTCTAAACACACAGATTTTTCTTTATTTTCCTTTTGTCAAACATGAAATATTAAATTTTAATGTAAATTCATTAAAAATAAATTGTACCTTTACTATAAAACAATATAATGTTATATAAAATGGTGCAGAAATTGCTGCAAACCTTAACCTACCTAGCTGAATCTTTGGCTACACAAAGTGCCAATGAATAGCCAAGTAATATGTACATACAATGTATTACTTCAATAATAGTGTTTGTATTATTAGACTATTAAAACTTTAAATGTTGTACATCATATTATCTAATTTCTTATTACATCTATTATTCTGACAAGCCTAGATGGGCCCATATATCAGGTCTATTTACAGTACATTTACATTTGTGCCCTTTTTCATATTGAGACACCACATTGAACTGTGTTAAATTTTTCCAGTTAGTCGAGCTCTTTAAAGGTCCAGTGTGTAATATTAAAGAGGATCTACTAACAGAAATGGAATATAATATTCATAGCTGTTTTCATTAGTGTAAAATGACCTGAAAATAAGAATCGTTGTGTTTTTGTTACCTTAGAAAGAGCTGTTTTTATCTACAGAGGCCGCCATGCTTAACCACCATGTTTCTACAGTAGCCCAGAAAGGACAAACCAAACACTCTCTTTAGATAAGGGCCATTTGCATCTTGTGCGCATTTTGCGGCCACCGCAGTTTCTATTTTGTGCTTGGAAGGGAGGGTGAAGCAAGGGCGTTGCAATATGCTACTACACTGGTAGATGTCAGTAAATCCTACACACTGGTCCTTTAAAAAGGTTGGCTAATTGATGTTTTCAAAGTAAAAAATGTTACAATACAATCTTTGTTTTCACCTCTTGCTTGGAGAGCCTCCAGTCATCGTTGAGGTCCATCTCCTGAAAGGACTCATGTGACCTTGGCCCATTTCTGATCTCAAGCACCTCGATGACAAAGGTCACTGTGCTCTCAGGTGGGATCTTACCTGACCGTGGACAACAGCACAGGAAGAGAGGTCAGCTAAAACTGATCACCTGAGGTTTCTGTAAGCATGCTTCAGTATAAAGGAAACAACTGGTTTGCGTATCCCTTTGTGAGTGAATGCAGCAACACATTTAAGGTTAAATGGTGAGTAAATAAGTTAGAAACATGGTAATGAGAAGCAAGCATAGGTTGCATTATTAATATCAAGTCATTCCGGTTGTTGTTATCATGGCAAAAGTTAGTCAGGCACAGAAGAGATGGATGTTATTGGTTAGGGTGGTGTGTGCTTACCAGGACAATGCATAGTATTGTTCACATGCTCCATGTTGAGAAAAAGTGGACTTATATTGCTGAATGAAACCTTCATTCAGTGTGGGAGTCCTAGGAAGCCATTCAAAACAAGACAAACAAGTATAATATACAGACATGCATAGTATATGCAATAATATTACACATTCGTAAAACATCAAGCACTTCTACAAAGACAGAGGCATTTATCTGTACAGCAGCATGCACTGAAGCTTTCATGCATATGGACAAAACGCTACTTACCTTTCCCGTCCTTCCCATAGGCCAGGGCTGGAGGAATCACTAGTTTCCTCTTCTCTCCAGAGCACATGTCCTGCAAGCCTTTATCCCAGCCCTTGATCACTTCTTTGATGCCCAGAGTAAACCACACTGCCTGCTTATCACCATGAATGCGACTGGTGGACAGACACAGAGACAGAGAGAGTAACAGGTCTGAAAAAGGATGGACTGTCAGAGGGTCCGAGACCCGGGCAACATGAGGCAATGTGTCAGGGCCTATAGGGAGACCTTAGTGGGGACTATTTCTTCTTTAGAACAAAGTTCCAGTGCAAAAATTAAAACAGTTCACAGCTAGGTGTGTGGAATATACCATGGAGTATGGGATGTTACCTTTGAGTTTTTCAAATGTCTAATTTTAATTCTTCCATTTTCCACGTAAATGTTGTTCTTTCTGTTTTAATTCTTTGAACACCATAGACGAAATCCCATTCACCTCCATTGTTGATGGCAAAAGTTCCAGAGACTGATATCTTGAAAACTTCCGCACATTAAACCAAAGCTATCTCACTGCAGGTAAGGGCGAAAATATGTATTCTTGTAGCTTGGATATTTTATTGAGGTGTTAAAAGTAATGAGTTGCCAACTTTAATACCTTGCATACATCAAACACCATTGTTTTTGTGCATAACTTAAAAATTATGCAGTCGTACTTCGGCCTGATGTAGTCTAGGCTAAATTTTAATTGAATAACTTACCATTAAAGCACGAAACGAGCAAATAAGACAGAGGAGCTAATAAGGAAATAAAAACAGTTGTTGTAATTTGGGTGAACTGACCCTTTAAAATGTCTTATCACGTGACCTTAGGAGGCTTGACCAATGAGCTTTAACACGCGCGCAATTACATGAGATGGACCAGAGAAACTGAAGAAGAGTGAATGCAGAACATTTCACTTGCTTAACGTAATGAATCAGTAACTACCTGGAATAATGTAGGAGAACTTCCTCTGAGCTCTCTTGGAAACTCCTTCTTACATTAAAACTCACCTGGAGTGAAACATGGTCCCGTTCTCAAGGTATCCCTCATGATGCACCAGCAGAATGTCTCCGTACTTTGATTTTCGATGACAGAGAAAAGGTCTGTGCAGAACTTCTATCTGCACCTCGGCTTCGGGCAGCTTCCCCCCGCTGACAGACAGCAGCAGGGTGGAGCAGAACCAGCTCAGCACAGCCAGCAGCATGCCGCCACACGCAACCTTCCTCAAGGAACAGCAGGATACACACATGAACTCGAGTGTTTGTCGTGGAGGGTCTCCTCTACGTGGCAGTTTCATCATACATGTAGTTGCAGGAAGTCTTCGTCTGATTGGTTGCTTTTGTTCATAAACCCCGCCCTCTCGCAGGTCCCCTTTGAATCAACTGGGGGAGGACTCTGGAGTGTAGGCCTAATCTTTATTAGAGTACAGTGTTTTAGGAAATTTACAGTCATGCAGGCAGATTATCCACTAATCACATTTTGCTGAATTTATTTAGTTGTAACTGAGCAGTTTTCTCATGCTGCTGCTGATAATCAAAGGTATTTTTCTTGCTGTTGCAGGATGACGTTCATTTTCCTCCTGTGGGATATTTGAACATTCACTTCAAGAGGCTAGTAGCCTACATTTACAGCACTGGTTAAAGCAGTCTGCTGTGCATTGGTACACATTTACATGCAATATCACAGCATTGCACTTCATAAATACATGATTTGTTATACATTGCAAAGAAAAAAAAAAAACCACAATGACACACCTCTGATTTGCATACTACAGTACAAATAGTTTCCATAATATTATAGACTCTTTTTTTTCTCCTCTCTCCCTCATTACAAAGGAAGTTAAGAACATAGCTTATTTTTGCATCAACAGTCAGCAAGTCATACACATTGTTAATTAATTCATATGATACAATCATTAAATCATTAAAATGTTCCCCACCCTCACCAGTGTCCATAACAGTGCTGCAGCCAATGGAGTGACAGTAACAAGAAGCTGCTCCTTGAGGCCAATTAAAGAGTTAAAGCCTCCAGGGGAGACCGTCGATTCAAAGCTGACTCCCATTACTTGTCATGGCTCAGAACAGGCACAAGAGCTTCCCTTTAGTGCTCTCTCAGTCTGTCAGTTATTTTTTAAGGGGTGAGACTTCAGTAGGAATCAGAAGTTTAATCCCCGTGATCAGAAAGAGGAACTGCAAAATTGCAATCTGGTTATTTTTTCACTTTCCAGTTCAGGTGAAATACTTGCAACCAGTGGAATCAATGAGGCAAGAGTCGGTACATCTGAGCTGCCCAAAAGACCTGCAGAAGACACAGAAAATTATTTTTATTAAGTCTATACTTTTTACTTTACTTTACTTTTACTATTTACACTCAGTACCTACCTAGAGCCAGGAGTCAATTAGCTTAGCTTAGCATAAAAACTTGCCTGGCTCTATTCCAGAGGTATAAAAAAAATCTGCCTGTCAGCACCTCTAAAGCTCACTATTTAACACATTATATATTGTATATTGTTTGTTTGAACAAAGACAGACATTAAAAAATTATAGGTTGTGGTTATACAGAGAGTTACGTGCAGCAACTTGTTCTTGGCCAGGAGCAGTGAGTTCCAGGAAGTAAAGGGAAATAAATAAGTGAGCTTCAGATGTGCTGGTAGGCCTTTTTTTAATCTTAAGACAGAGCCAGGCTAGCCGTTTTACTTTGCTTTAAGTCTTAATGCTATGCTAAGCTAACCACCTTCCAGCTAAGCTTACAAACATGAGAGTGGTATCTCAGCAAGACAACAAATATGTATATTTCCACACACTGTGGAACTATTCCTTTAAACGTGTATAAAGCATGCAGAGTTGTGTGATTGAAGCATCTAAGACGTTTCAGATGCATTTCAGTAAAAGTACAGTAGTTCTTTCAAGTGACCTTTAAAATCCCCACATGGGTGTGCAGTATAAATGTGCTGATGAAAAAGGAACTGCATTGTGCTCTCTTGTAGTAGAAGATCACTGTGAAATGCTGGCCTATAGTAGCAAGGTGTACCCAAATAAATGTATAGTTAATGTATGTTTGTGTACGATGTCCGTGAACCTACCCAGGAAGATAGGATTTGCAGTTCTGATAACCAAAGTCCTTTCCATCACACTCCTCCATGCCTTCATGCCGATAGCCATCTCCACAGTAGGCCCACTTACAGTCTGAAGCGACGAAGGGGATGATGAGAACGTAGTAGCAGAGTTAGGAGAGATCAAGGGAGGGAGGGGAGAGAGATGACGTTACTAATTGCTTTGGCACTCCTGCGTGTTTCAGTGATGCCAATACAGCATTTTCCTGCTAATTTAATTGAACAGAGAAGGAGAGAAAAGTGAGAGGATGGCAGGAAAAGAGAGAGTGAGATTAATGAAAGATCAAGGCAAGCTCTCATGCTGCTTACTGCTTCTATCCTCTGCCATGTGGGTTCAGACTCTGTGGTGCACTGTAGTTAGGACATTTCATGAGCAGCTGGATATGTGACAGCGTGGTGGTGTTTGTGTATTTAAAGAATAGTTATGTTCTTTTAGACTAACATCCTAATCCTATCCTAATTCTTGGTATACCGTATATTGCATAAAGGGGTGTCAAGTTTATCTGTGAATATGGTGTTTTACTTTCACTGTCTTTACTAGGTAAGTGTGCATGTGTTCAACTAAGCAAGATATGCATGTAACTCACTGAGACAAGCATCAGTCACAATCTGGTTCCCATCATCACACTCCTCTCCGTGCTGGGCCTGCACCTTCCCGTCCCCACACACACCAGCTCTGTCCGGGACTTTCTCTGTGGACTGGAACGTCTGGAAGGGCTGGACAAGTCGCAAGAAAACAAACAATAACTTGCCTTTTCAGCCAAAGGATTGGGGCTAAAACTAGGCTTTATTAGGTGTACATGTTTCATGTAACCTGGTACATATAATAGATGTCTAAAACAGTTTTCAACCAAATGTAGCCCATTGGACCAAAACATTTTTACCACATATTAGCTGCTTCTAGAGCTTTCAATCGCTTCTTGTCTTCTTCAGCAGATGGAATTTTCTCAGTTGTCAGGCCACACATTACTATATATGACTGGATGTTATGACAACTGAGCAACTCTATCCACTGAAAAAGACTGTGGGAAAGCTCTTTAAAAAGCTAGTAAGTATACCTTAAGTTTTTAAATCATCTGTTTCCAATATCAAAAATAAACGTTCAAATGTAGACACATAGTTGTAAGCTGTAAATGATAAATGATGTGCTCATTGGCAACTGTTTAAAAAAAGTACAGCATGTACACTACAAAACTTGTAGTGTCACAGCTCACTATTGCAATTACATAACACTCTAATAGTCGTTACCTGTATGGGCTTCCATCCATCTTTATCTCTGAAGTAGAGCGACCTCTGATCTTTCCTGAATGCTATTGCGTTCTCCATATGTAGACGGTCCATCTCCTCCTCACTGTTTACCACAAATATCTACACACGTACATACAGGAGAAAGTGGAAGCTGATGAGTAATAACTGATTCAGTACAAACATAGATTGAGTTTATATGGTATTATTGTAAGTAACACGTTTTATGTGAGTTGGGTCTCACTGCAGGGACTTTATTGGAGCCACCACGCTGTGTGTAGCTTCCAAAAGGAGCAGTATTTGCTCCAAGAGTGGAATCACAGTCACATCGACCTGGTGGACCTGGAAGACCTTTCTCTCCCTTTTCCCCTACAAGATAGAGACCTGTAAAAGAAAGTAAAGTAGAACAAAAGTGTGTAACACTATATCATACTGTAATAATATACATTATAAATTGTAATTTGAGGCTGAGTGTATATGAGTGCATGAGTTACAGTACTGTACCTGAGGCAGGTGGACCAGGTGGACCTGGATGGCCGTTTGGACCTGAAGGACCTGGGGGGCCCATGGCTCCTGGGGCTCCAGAGTGGCCCTTCATACCCTGTACAAACCAGGCAACATCCCAGTATTAGAAAATACACATGCACACACAGACACACACACACACACACACACACACACCCCCACACACACACACACACACACACACACACACACACACACACACAGAAGGTGACCTACATGCCAATGCCACTTGTGCATAGCTGTGATAATCTAGTCCATGGAACAAATATGTCAGTGTGTGTGTGTGTGCATATATAAATGTGTAGACTCTAAGATGCCAAGGACCCCACAGCCCTGTCGGAAGTCTATACTTAGAGCTGGAAGTAAAACTTGAGTGACTTAATTAGCCAGTGAGAGGACAGTGCAGTGTCAGTGCAACACACTAAAATATGTTCTAAATGTGTTGGACATCGACGCCAACATCTATCTTACACACACAATCAGCCCTATTACACATCAAACACCCAAATAATATACAGAGGGTACCAAACATTATCATTCATCACCGCCTTTCCTCACCTGTTTGCCTCTCTTCCCAGGCCGTCCAGTCGGTCCTCTCTTCCCTGAGACTCCTTGCTCTCCCTTTGGTCCCTGCTCACCCTGGGAGAGGAGTTAAGGAATAATTAGTTTTAATCATTTCTTTACTGTATTAGGTATTGAATCATTCCTACCTTCTGCCCAAGCATTCCAGGCAAACCAATGGAACCCTAAATAGAGACAAAACAAGAGCTTGATGTGAGAAAAGGCACTCAGAAAATGTTTAATGTTAATTTAATCTGTCTGTGAGATAGAGGACTCTAGACCTAAAGAACTGGAAGAAAGTGTCTGAAGTCATTAATCACTTTGGATTCTAACCAATAACCGTTTTCACTGCCTAATCAAATGAATTAAGTCAATTAACACAGAATGAGGTGAAGTGCTCATAGTCAAACCTGAGCATAAATGGGTTGTAAAAAGTCACAAACCACAATATTACACAATATATACACAACAATATATTTAAGAATTTTAGGATTTGCAGTAAATGAAATGAACCAACCTTATTGCCCCTTGGTCCTGGTGCTCCAGGGTCACCGTAAGACCCCTTTAAAAAAAATAAATAAAATAAAATGAAGGATTTAATAGTTTTGTGGTGACAAATCTGCATTCTGATAAGTGATTCTTAACTTACCTTATCTCCTTTGTAACCAGACAAACCCTGAAAACAGACATGATAATATAACAGAAGCAGATAAGATAAAACATCTATTGATAATCTATGATGTTTTAAAGATGAGACTAACCTTTGTCCCTGGTGGTCCCCTCAGTCCTGGTAAACCCATAAGTCCTGGATCCCCTTTCTCACCCTAAAAAAACCCCATTCCATATACATTTGTGTAAAACCACAAGACTTCTTTAATGTGCTTTGGTGCACCAATAAGGAGCCAACTGTACTCACAAATGTGTTAACACCTAGAGGGATACCATGAGACTTACCTTTGGCCCTTCTGGACCAGGCCATCCTGTTAGTCCTGGTTTCCCTGGGAGGCCTGGAGCCCCTGTACGACCCTACAGAAACACAAGCATCACTGCCAGCACTTCAACTATTTCTGCTCCCTCCTCATTGAACAACATGAAACTGAAAGCATTGGTCTCCTGTAAACTGCATAAAGGATTTGTGACAGACTCTTTTCTTCTTGAGTGTTAACAGTCTTCAACAGCAGGAAGTTCTACACTTTTTTAAATAAATAAAATAAGACATCATCTAAATAGTTCAACAGGTGTATTCAATATATGAAGCTGGCGCCAGCAGTCGTTTAGGTTAGCTTAGCTTAACATAAACACTGAAATCAGTTGGTAACAGCTAGCTTGGCTTTGTTGAAATGCAACTAAATCTGCCTACCAACACCTCTTAAGTCCACGTTATATTTATTTAGTTTAATCCGTAAAAGAAGTTGTGGTTTTACAAGGGTTTATGTGCCGGACTGTTTTCTGGCCTGGTGTAGTGACATCCTGTAGTCTCCACAGGTTGCCTGCCAACTTCTCCCTGTATCGATCTTCTCATCTAAGCTTATTTTAAGCTCTTCCTTTAAATGTGGACTTATTTCTGCTTTCATAATTTGCCATACATGCTAATGATCTGCCACTTTTTATGTTCTTCAGGATGCTTATTTTACGGCCCTGTGTCACCTGAAATAAAGCTACTGATTTTAATAAAGACTAACAAGGTTAAATAAGGGTCGGAAACAAATAAGCAAGTCAGACTGTACGACCTAATCGGACATGACAGAGGACAAAACCTAGCGTGCAAAGCTTTGACAGTGCCACCGAGATTTGCTAATTAGTGGACAGGAATAAAGGCTTAATTGATCTTGCTCTATTGCCAGTTCCCTGCAAGCAGAAGAACCAAATATATTGCACAACAGCCTCACATCTCTGTGACATCTGAACGAGTATCCCAGAGCTGCTGCCGTGCTAGCAGCGTGCTTTCATTTAGCAGCTTGTCATTAAAACAGCAGCCTGAAGAGACACCATGGACCTGCTGCTGTGTGGAGTGATTTATCATGGAGAGCAAAAGCACTTAGGGAGATTAAAGTGCAGAAGTGGAGTGCTGGAGAGCCTGGATCAGCAGGACTATAGTCCAGTATGAGAGTAATGGAGCCAGGCCAAGGGAAGGAGGGAAGGAAGACGCAGAGGAAAAGGAAAGAAGGGAGGAATGATAGAGAGGTCAGGAGGGGGAGGATGACGGGAGACATCCAGGGATGTGATCAAGCTTTGCTACGTGGTTAGAGCGGCTACTGAGACTAATGTAGCATGACCCATTTAGCAGCTGTAGAGGATATTCTGAGCACATCAATAGACAAATCACATCACAGAGATTGAGGATGCATAGAGGGGACAGCAGAGGCAGAGAGAGCGATATACAGATCCCATTATTCCAAGGACATCTGAGATGGACCACAGAGAGAGGCGCGCGAGAGAACGGGACATGCAGGAGGGGATGAGCGGCTCACCTTTGACCCTGGACGTCCAATTTCTCCCTGGAGGAGGACAAATGAGAGGAAAGGAGATGTAGCACTCATTAGAGCAGAGAGGAACACAAGGACAGACACAAATACTTCTACAGCAAAATACATTAGAGACATATTTCAAGACCTATAAAAACAAACACGCACCTTCTCCCCTTTTGGTCCCCTTATACCGGGTAATCCGCGGTGACCCTGAAAAATGACACAGAATTTATATCCAGCTCACATAATTTAATAGACATTTATTGAAAAATCAATACTACAAAGGTCCCTGTTTCATTTCCATGCTTGTTTAATAATATTTCCATCCACTGTCTTAAAAAGGCTACAGCAGGCTGATTACACTGTCTGATGGATGTACCATGATTTAATTAGACTTAAGGGGTGCAACCTCTAATGTGAGTTCTCCAACACAATGTAGTATGCTATTTTTAAAAGGGCCCTACCTCTGGGCCCCGGGGTCCTGAAGGTCCTGGAGGTCCAGGTGAACACCCAGGTATCACAGGTTTTTGTTTCTCCTTTTCCTCTCCTCCAACAACACTTGGCTCTAAAATACCATCCTTCAATCAAACATACACAAAACCCAAGAGAACAGGGTTTTAATCAGAAGCCTACTGTGAGCATATTAATATGTGTAAATGAGGTGTTATTTATGCAAGCAGGTGTGTGTGTGTGTGTGTGTGTGTGTGTGTGTGTGTGTGTGCGAACACCTACGGGGCTGCCCCACTTCCACAGCTGAGGAGGCGGAGGGAAGAGCGGCGGCGGAGGCGGTGACATGAGACAACAGGGTTCAAACCTCAACGGCTCATCCAGCAACCTGAGAGCTGAGGGGAAGACTGACAAACAGCACGCGTCTGTCACTGACAGTCTGCCATGATCAATGTGTGATCATGTTTTCCTTCTGTCAGTCTTAGTACACTCACACAACTTACCTGAGCGGGCTGAGTGCATGCTGTCCATGGAAGAGTGACGGGACAGGGCCCACGCAGGACACAGGAGAATGTGGAAGGACACTGCAAGTTTGACCAGATCCATCCTGCTGGTTTACTTCCCCTAAAGCACACAACACAAGCTGTCAAACGCACACACACGCACACAGTATACACACACACACACACACACACACACACACACTCTCTATTTCTGCTGCCTGAGCTTAATGCATTTACTGGCAGCTGTCACTTTTCCTTACTCCCTGTAGAGGGTGTCACTATTTGATCACTCCCTTCATCTCAGTCCGAAGCCTCTCTCTCTCTCTTTCTCTCTCTCTCTCTCTCTCTCTCTATCTTTCTCTCTCTCCCCCATAGCATAATAAACTTGTTGCAGCTCCACACTGCAGCAGATGCAGCCACCGCTGTAATTCCAGCCGTGCACCAACCCCCTCAGCCTTGTGCCAGAATTAGACCGGGTGGCGGGGCGAGCTGCCACTCAGGCTTATTATTACTTCTGCCACTTTATGACAGAAGTCAACAATAGTAAGGCTGCCACATGTTCATTCACACGCAACATTTTCAGTGTGCTCACATTTCATACGGTCCGTGCAGGTCAATAATAGTGGCTGGAAATAGTTAGAAGTCCTAAAATATATATGATAATCCCGTGATTGAAACACGTGTGTTTTACAGAAAATATGCTACACAGGATTCAATCAATATTCCATAGGCTATCATCATTAATATGGCTCAACATTTTCCTCTCGATTCTAATTAAACGTAGGTACAGCATGCCTTAATGTCCTGGTGATACAGGAGCGTTACATGGAAGCAATGTCATCTACATCCAATGGCTCTTAATGCACAAGACCCCCCCTTACCTTTCACTTGGAATTGCGCCGCACTTGTAGACTCGCAGTCTGGCGCTCCTCTAAATGAAATGTGCGGTGTGCAGTCCCACAGACTGTGGCTCCTTTGACATTAGGCGTGCTGTAGGCAATATGGACCGCTAATAAATCTGATCCACTTATCGACCCGCTGCTTTCCCTCCGCCGGTCAATAACAACACAATTGAGGAAGGAGGACCTGAGTGGAGCCAACACAGCGGAGGCAGCCTCCTCAGTCCCAGCGGCTCTGGATCGGCATTAACTGTTGTGTCATCTGGACCGACTTCAGTACAGCTGGCAGAATAACTGGGCTGGCACTGGTGTTTTAAGTCAGCATGCTTGCACTCGGTTTGGCACGTTTTTACGTCCCTGGAGGTGCTGATTGTGTCTTCAGCAGTGAAATGGCGCCATCTGCTGGATATTTTAGTTTATGGAAGAATTAATAGTAAAATCAATATTTCATACTTTTACCTAACTTCACTCTCCGTTATTGACTTACTGTGATATATTTATGTGTGACAGGTGAAAGAAACACATCCTTGAAATCATTTTCTTTTTTAGTATTGTGTTTTCCCTCTAAGGCCTGCTTTATAAATATACAGTAAATAATCTATACTTTTTCTTTGTAACTGAATTTATGTATTTTACTTACAATAGAGTGCCTTATTAACTAAAACCATCAAGTAAACGAATGCAAGATTAACTAAATATGTCATTTCAAAGTGGAAGGAAACTATAAAATCACACTGTGGAAAGGACCAGGTTTTTTATTGCCACATCCGTTTACTCATGGTCAAGGTATTGTTTAGAAAAGAAATAACAGAGTACAAAACATTAGCTCAGTAAAAAAGAATAAAATATAAATGCAGTTGTGATTGGGCCAAGTTTAAGAACTGTAAATATTACTTTAACCAAAATGATCTGTTTTACTGTAAATCTTACCATTAAGTAAAAAGAAAAACATGAATTAGAAAATGTGCGAATACAAAACATACTCATTTTAAAGTGACATTATGACAATAAAATGTATTACAACCAGTGGCTGTGAAAAGAGGAGAAAATAAAGTAGGTAGTCCAGCACCATTTAACACAAAACACTTTGTCAAAGTCTCCCCATTCGATACTCTAAAAGAAAACTACATATAAACAGAAAGAGACTTAAGTAGTAAACATAAACGAAACTTAAAGAAACATTGATCAACAGTGCAAATAGTTGCAAAAATGTGTATTTTTTTGCAAGCAGTAGTAACGGTTTTAAACATACAACTCTGTTTTTAGAATATCCCATAAGACGGCTTCCTCTTTAAGAAGCCTTGACTGAGAAGAGTCTTGAAGTTGGACAAGGGCTGACTCATGATAATTAAAAACAGTCTCCTACACATAAAAGAAAACAGTGTGGCAGGAATGTTGGAAGATGCAGAGATGCAAATTTTAAATAACTATTGTAAATAGAGCACACTCTTGTTTTCTTCTTTGTAAATGTAAAGTAATGTGATGCTTGTGTCCGCAGCTGTATGAGAGTGTTCTGTGTTAGTCAGTATATTAGGAGGTGGCGTCCTTTAAATAGGCTATAATATCCAGTCTTTCCTTTTGCTTCCTGATCCCACTGAAGATCATCTTGGTACCAGGAATGTACTTCTTAGGGTTTTTAAGGTAGATATTCAGAGTTTCCTCATCCCATATGATACCTAAAACAAAACAAAAACACACATTAAAACACACGTTAAGGTTTGTATTATCTTATTTGTAGAGTAGGCTATATGACAAATCTGCATTCTCACACATCTGATGGCTGTGTTTAAGTTTTATAGCCTCGCATTCAAGCAGAGCTCAGAGTCAGATGTCCTGCCTGTTCAGACCTGCTGCTCTGACTGTCAGATACAGAAAATACAAGACCAAAGACGCTTCTCAGCTCTGTAGCAGTAACTGTAATACACATACATAGGCTTAACTATTTAAAACTCTGCTTTGAAATCCATACAAATGAATACAAAGGGATGCAGATTTTTTTAAATATCATTAGAGTCGTTTAAAGGCAACAAGTGAAAACTCTTTCGCGCTCAATGCTACCAAATGCATTTCTGAAACACACACTATGGATGATGAACATTTTCTTGTATACTCCTTTAAAAACTGCTGTTGGTTGAGCAGGTTGGCCATGCAAGAGAGGTTACCATTACAGCCTCATAAAATAACACCCACATACAAATGTAGATGTCTGTTTTTATTGTCGCGTGACTAAACTTCAGTGCGACTCCACCAGTCGACCAGGATCTGGAAGAATCATACATTACTAATTTACCTGTAGCATGTATCCATCCCCTCCTCCATATTAATCCAGGACAAAAGAGAGAACACATCCAGGATGCACACGTGCTCTCTTGTGTTTCTACTTTGCCTTAATTTGCCTGCTGCTTTAGTTGCATCTTGATCAGTTAGTTATTTACATGCATGTAGGCTACAGCTAGTCTGCAAATCAACTGCAAATCAATAGGTTGGAACTGAGGTGTTCCGTACAAGCTAAAGCACGCTGATTCATACCTTTATCAATATTGGCCTGTGTATAAGAGTAGCCAGGCGCCTGTCCTGTCTTCCTCCCAAACAGACCCCACAGGTTGGGTCCCACCTTGTGGCGCCCCCCCTCTGTCACTGTGTGACACTGGGCACATTTCTGGACAAATGACTTCTTCCCTTTATTGATGTCCCCCATGACCAGCAGCTGTGGAGGAGAGGAAGTGATGATCAGCGAGCCAGTTGTTGGATATTGATCCGTAGGAACACATGAAGTGAGTGGAATAATAGGAAAACATATTTCAGATACAGAATAGCCCAGGGCACATGGGTAGTTTAAGTAACCCTCAAACTTCCGGATTGTTGTCATAACAGGGGTTGTTACAGCAAAATAAGAGGGAAAAAAACTCAGCCTCAAAGACTGTTTGTGATGTAAAGCTGAAGCTGTTTACTAGATAAAATCGCGGTGACCCTTATGTATCCCATTATAAGTATAACTACTGAGAAAAACACACATAGAAAACATAAAACTGCGTCAAAGAAGGAAAACAGTCTACAGTTATGGTAATTCAACACAGACACACGGTTCGTCGCGATGGCATTATGGTGTTTTCGGCTGAGTCTGACATTAAAAAACACAACAAACAAAACTAATACAACGAAACCATCAACATTACCTGACGGAGTGTAGTCCTAGTGGCTCCAGGTAGAAGTTTCCTCTATCTTTTACAAACTCAGACTTCTTCAGAGTTGTGTTGTTGGTTGTTAACTTGAAGTTTTTCCTGCCGTTTCTAGCTGTAAACTAGATCGTTTCAAGGACTCCACCGGATTTGAATCTCAAAGCAAAAGATCTCAAATTTCAGATGGGAGCGACCGACTCGAGTTGAGTAAGATGTCATTAAACGCACTCTGCGCAGCTCAGAAGACGTCATCTGGGTCACACCCATTTACTTTCCAATGGCAGGTGAGGTATGTTGACAATGTAAGGGAAGGCATAATACTGCTGTAGCTGCTATTAAATAAGTTCTATTACATTACCAAAGTAAATTTAAATGTGTTATTTTTATTTTTTGGGGCATTAAGATGATATAATGAGTCTGACTGGGTGAAAGTATTGTGGTTGAGAAGCAGTTGAACAAGTTTTTAACCTGTTAATATTCTGTCAGTGAGCTCTGCCACACCCTGCTCTGCCGGACACACCTGTGTGGATTCTTCCTCACACAGCCTGAGACCCCCCAGCACTCTTGTCTAGTGGCCACCTGACCCTTGTTTTTGATGTGCAACTTAAAATGTGATATGAAAAAAAGATTGGTTTGATCACACAAAACTGTAAATATGTAATGAATAGACATACAATAATAAATATAGATGGCACTTGGCAGTTGAAACAAAATCTAACTGGTATATGACTATGTGTAGTTAGTGTGTAGAACTTGAAGGTGCTCTTTGTACAGACTGTGAAAACAAATTTCTTCCACTGAGGACAATAAAGAATGAATATGAATCTGAACCACTGAATAAGACATTTCTAGCTGTCTGTGTCTGCTAAAGTGACTTCAGGTCTAAACTGAAGAAGATCAGAAGGGCCTGGGTGGTCGTTCTCCACCTCTCCTATGCCTTCAAGAATGGGTGTAGTCACATCCGGATTGGCCAAGAGGGGAATCACAAAGCTGCTCTCAATCATCATTAAGGAGTCAGTCCCCACACCCTGTGCAACAGGTGAACAACCCTCTAGTCAACCCAGAGGAATGTATCTATTAGATAGATAGATAGATAGATAGATAGATAGATAGATAGATAGATAGATAGATAGATAGACTTTATTCATCTCCGAAGGGAAATTGGGTCGTCATAGCAGCCAGGTACATTAAAATACAATAATATACAATAGAATAAAATACAACAATAGAATAAAATACTTAGAGATAATATTTATAATAATATAATAATAATATGTATATATAATATGATAACTGAACAGATATACATGTATATATACATAGATATTATACATTAATATTGATATAATGTAAACATAATTTTAATATATAATATCTAATACAATAATAATAATAATAATAATAATAATAATAATATATAGTATAAATGAAGTAGTAATGTAGTATATGATGAAGTATATGTTCCACAGGTAGATTTAGTCCAGTTCTGTGATTGTGGATCTGACAGAAGCAGATGAGTTATAGAGTCTTATTGCAGTGGGGAGGAATGATTTTCTATATTGTTCCTTAGAGCAGCGGGTTGAATGAATCTGTTACTGAAGCTGCTCTTTAGCTTATCCAGTGTTGTGTGGAGGGGTGGGAGGGATTGTCCATGATTGCCAGCAGTTTTGCCAGCATCCTCTCCTCCACCACCTCCTCCAGGGTGACAAGCTTCAAGCCAACAACAGATTGTTCAATGTCTGCAACATCCTGTTGCAGACATTGAATGACTATTGACTATTGTCTATTGTGCTAAAATCAGTGGGAAAAAGGAAAATTAAATAGCAGCAAACAGCAAAGAATGAGGGACTGATACATGCTCACGGAACGTGTTCCTTCATTGCAGACATTCTGACATGTAGCAGTAAATCACAGTAAATAATAAAATGAATAATGTCTGAATTGCAGTTAGCTGCAGCAGTTTCAGCATCCTGTTATCGTGCATGCTGGCTCACTGTTACACTGTCATGGCTTACTAGGACACTTGAATAGAACAGAGCCTTTGTTAATGTTATTAGTAACACTTGCACTTTTCCTGCTATAACAAGTCAAAATGTCTTCTGTAAAAAGGCCTAGTGGTCTATTTTTTGAGAGGAAACGTTTTGGTTTGCTATAGCAGGAAAAACACAGGTGCAACTACTATTATTAATGATGATTCAGTTCCATTAAGGTGACTCTCAGTAGTAAGTCATCATACTAATGAACCTGCATAATACTGACACACTGCAAAGGAATGCAGCCATTATTAATGTTCCTAATTACACAAGTGCTTCTCCTGCCCTGATGAGTGTCTGCTGTGAAGAAGGTCTATAAGAGCAAATTAGATTCAGTTCTTTATTTAAAGAAAGAGCAGGGATTCAAAATGTGTCGTGTTGGGATATTTGGACACTTGATTAGCAGCACACATAAGTGTCACCATTGGTGGTAAGTACATTTACTCAAGTATTGCACTTACTAAAGTGTAGTTTCAAACTTGTACTTGAATATTTCCATTTTTTGCTACTTTGTCCTCCACAATACTCCAGAGGCTGATAATTTAAGTCACTGTGTAGATTGAGATTATTAATACAAAATATAATCAACAAATGAATGATGTTTTATTATAGGCTAAGATTATTGATACCCAGGAGGTATTAAAACTACCCAGAAGTAGTTACACTTAGCCTCACCTTGAAGCTGCAACATTAACATGATGTATACAGTAATTCATCAATAACTATAAGCAGATAATGTTATGAAATACATTATTCTGAAATGGGCCATTCTGCATATCAAGTTACTTTTGTTAAATTACTTGATATGCATTTTTGCTGTTTTTCTTAAGTAAGATCTAAGTACTTCTTCCACCACTGAGTGTCAGTATTGAGGACAGTTGTCAAGGTTTGTCTCTTTAAATCCTAAACTTAGTTATTACTAAGTTATGTGGACTGTACATGAAGAATTTCATTTGTTCATCACACTATAGACTATAGTTAATTTTTCTTTTTTATATTTTGGAACAGAAACTGTCATGTGACAATGGGATAAAATGTATGTATTACAACCAAATACCTCATTACGTTGTTGTAGTTCCTCATCTCTCCTCTCACCTGTTAAAAACCAAACCTGCTAAAGGCCTGTCTTGAGGATCGTGTTGTCCAGTCCGGCACCCTGTAACAAACAACACTGTCTCATCTGGACACCATGGACGGAAACATAAGGGACTTAAAGGGCGTTCTCTCGGTACTGGCACCTTTATTTAGCTTTCACTGGGAGAAAGGTAGAGGACAGTATTTTAAGTAAGAAGTTAAAAAAGAGCCTCTGTGTTGTTTTAGAAACTCTTTGTGGAGACTTTCACATGGTGTTTGTCTCCCTCTAGTGGACAATCACTGTACTGAGATAGAAAACACATATTTTTATTTTGCATTTAAAAACTGTATTGTCAAATTAAAATACATAGGACTCAATAATAGAGCAAAATAAAACCCAAACCATTCACTTGAAACTTTTATTGTTATTGTTTAAGATACATTTTCAGTAACAATGATATAACTTTATTTAAAGGGACTCATAAATTTAAATATTTCAACTTACTTATATATTTATTGAACATTTTTCCTTTAAACATTTGTCTTTACAGTACTTTGTGTTTATATTTACATGCTATAGTAGACTTCAGTGTTGGCCTATTTAATACTCTTTCATCCATTAAAGGTTTTTTCTTGCATCTGCATCTCTTCCGAGCTGGTTGTAAAGTCAATATCTTCAGCCCTGTGGGAAGAGAATACACAGTTTGTGTTATTCATAACTCTTAGACGTGTAAGGATGTTAAACTGAACTGGAAATAACAAGATAAGACGATGAGGATTCAAGCTTTGTCATAAACTGGTGATCTGTCTGATGAATGTATGATGGGAGAGGCTCAAGCTTGATCCCCGAAGGGAAGAGTATGCTCATACACAATGGACTTTGTCTTACAGTGTAGATTAAATAACACTGACTAAATTAATCTCTGTGTAACTGCAAACCAAAGCGTTATGGCTTCCTTTCTGGAAATACATATTTATTATGGGCAAGAGCTGCCTACCAGTGCAAGCCAGTGTTCAATAACTCTGCATTGGCCAGAGTCCTGAGGAGGCTCCAGTACAGACTGGTTCTCCGAAGTCCCTGAGGCGACTTCGGTGGTTCTTGGACACCAGGGCACTCAGCACACATTTGAAACACTTCCCAAGACCTTCCGAACCTCTGGGGCATGTTGGGGGTCGAGTTTGGGGACCTATCATCACCAGGATTACTGTCCCTTCCAAAGCGCATTGGCATGTTGGCGTGGAGGTGGAGAGGTTTAGCCGTGGGCGGGTAGAGCCTGATGATGGTCGGGAGGCTGATTTTGCTGGTGGTGGGGGACACGTGTATGTTGAAGCTCTCGAGATCCAAACTCCTGCGGATTTCACCTTTTGCCTGTAAACAAAAACATGTATTGAAAAACGACTAATCTGCAACTATTATCTTGATTAATTCATAATCATCAAACCAAAATAATTGTCAGCCTTAGTTTTTTCTACTAGTGTTCCTCTATATGTTATCATTATATCATTTTATGTTTTTATTTCATATGATACAGCAGGGCGAACACCATCAAAATACCGCCCAGCAAAATTTTGCCAATGATGGAATAAACATTGATGCATTCACAGTTGCTCTACAATGTACATAGTTTCAGTTCCATGATCTTGACAGTTGTAGTAGAGAACACAAGAAAAGTAGCTGCAGCGTACAAATATTTTCATTATCAAGTAGTTATTATGTCTATAAAATGTAGGAAAATATTGACAAATATCTACTATAACTTCCTAAATCTCAAGGTGACTTCAGCCCAAAAACCTCAGATATTCAATTTGTCATATAAGACCAAAAAAGCAAAAAAACCTAATTTTTGGGAAGATGGAATCCAAGATTGTCTTAAAAAATGACAAATTGCTTAATCGACTAATCTTTTCAGTTGTAAAGGAAAACCTAATAAACTGGATCCCATTTCCCACTGGAATAGTCACCGCTGCCTGGCTTATTAAAGCTCTTACCTGTTGGTGCGGCTGTTTCCTCACAGTGTGTCTTCCATCATCGCTGCTCAGCAAAGTCTTATCACTGTGGATTGATTTCCCATAGACCTGCAAGTCAGACACTGCTGCCCCTCCAAGCCCCCCCAGCATCAGGAGTGTTGACAGAAACACAGTGGTCAACATGTTAACAGCAGGAGACACGTTCTCTCAGGACAGCACCAGGACACATGCCTTATTTCCTGCTGTTATTAAAGACCTCTGAAAACATACGTCACCTGTTGCATGTGATAAAGACACTCACACACATACATGTGTACAAACTAACACATACACATATACCTTTAGCCTCAGCCTCATTTAAATGGAGCAAATTCCTGGCTCAATAATCATCCAGAAGAATACATTTGAAAAGGTATGTATGTCCTAATTGGGCTGCTGAATAAATCAGCTGGCATTAGCAAGAATATGAGGAGGAGGAAAACTAACTAAAAACATTACCTAGAAATACTGAATGGCAGCACCATTCATATTCAATATGTGTATTGTGTATTATGTATTGTCCTATTCTACAGAGGCTGTATTTTATGGCTCATAAGATTTACTAATTGTATTCAGGTTGTCAGTGTCAATTAGGAACAAATTCTAATGTAGCAAGAAGAGCAAAGGGGTGTTTTAGTGATGGACAAAACAAAAACAAGACAAGAAGCGCTGAAAGCACAAGTTACACAAGTTAAAGATTTAAAATCTTTTATTCATCTTCTGAGTCATATAGCTGCCATATGTTTGACAAATTCAATTCTTTCCACTATTTAATACTATTTACTTTAATAATATACTATTTGATTAAAATAAGGAAACTATCAATCAAGTGAAAGTAATAGCAAAAGCGCAGTTACAAGTAAGTTTATGTCTGGCCTAAGGGTCAATCTCCAAAAAACACTGGATCCTACTCTTCCCATAATGCAATGGTTATTTTCTGTTGGACCTTCCATGCCCGGTAAATACAGAATTTACAACATACAACATATCTTCAGGATGTAACAAAGACTTTCTATTACAAAAGTCCAAGCCCAATCCAAGATGACCCTGATGACACCATGAGGATTGTTTTTTCAGACTTGGTGAAATTCCTCCAGAGCCACAGAAGGCAGAATAAACAGGACATAAACTGATGTTTTGTGTAAAATCCACAAAAAATTCCACTTTAAGTTGAGTAACTTTGCCAGAATTATGGATGAAACCAGATCAAATGCATATTTATTTCATGCTGTGTGGAGCCTCAGAACCATTATCTGATCATGGACTCACTGGATACTGTAAATAACAAGTGAAACAGCAACAAGTTTTAAATATTTATCTGACACCATGTTTTTTCCCTAGTCGCTGGCTAAGCATTGTCTCATTTTATTTAGTCTTTCTGAGAAACAGAGACTGCACTATGTTTGGGGGATTTGTAAGATCAAGTGTTGTCAAGCAACAATCTAACTAAATATTCTTCGAAAAAGTACCTTAGATTGGCTCATATGGTGTCCTGCTGTTCTATGCTGTTGGTCTTATTTTGGAGCAAGCCTCTTTGGAAAAAGCACAAACAAAACTAATAACAGGAGGTATTTCCTTCTTCTTTGTTTGTTATATGTAACTATTATTAATGCATTGAAACTACTGTATCTAGCAACCGTTGGACAATTCAGCTTTGACAAGTATTTAAAGGAGTGGGAATGACGTCACTCCCCATTCCTGTTTCTAAACGTGTTGATTGTGAATTAACATGCACAAATGACTCACTGGAGCTGTATTTGCATTTCGGGCAGACAGAATGTGAGGAATGCTTGGTGTAAGACACAGGTTCATAATGACAACCTGCAGGGAACTTTAATTTGATCCATGCGTCATGACCCCAACATTGTTTCCATTTGCAGTGTAACCATGTCCAGTCCCTCCTCTGAGCACAGAGAGCATTTAATACATCGGTTTGAAGCATCTCAGTGGAAAAGAATCCAAATCGTGTCTGTTTTTAGTGCTTCAGTATCAACCTTAAGATATTTTTTATGGCTACGGTTTCAGTCTATCTTTCTGCATTATCATTTACCTCCCACCTCTCCTCAGCCCTTCTCTTTGTGCTCTCCCTCCCTGACCCTGGGCCCCAGCTTGCAGACTATGGGGTTTTGGATTTACGATCCTGTCTCCGACACTTATCCAGCGTCTTATCCGCAGAGGGCTTCCCTGTACCTCAAGCGCTCTCTTTGTTCTTACACCAAGCTCTCCGAGCACTCCCTCAAAGACCTTGTTCTCCGCCACTGTAATTCTCTCTTCTTAATGTTTTTAATGTGCATCCCTCGCCACCCCGGCGGCCTTTTCATCTTTCCATTTTCTTGCTTTTGGGCCTCTGCCTCCCCTCCTTTCTGCTTCAACATGCTGTCCACTTGCTTGAAAACAGACGCCGCTTCCTTGATAGAAATACTGCCCTGTAGGTTTGATTTAATATTCCTTAAACTATATATATAATATGCTTATATATGTTTTTGACTTATCTTTCCTCCACCTTTCATATCAATTTTATATTATGTAGAGATGTAGAATTAACCGAAATGTTCCTCTATCTGTCTACAAATTAAATTTTTTGTGAAGTTCAGGAAAACTATACAAAGAAAGACTGACAGAGAGTCAAAGATAAATATAGACCCAAAGCAGAGACAGGAAGCAGAATGAAACAGGCCACAATGACACTGTTGATCCTCGATTGACTGGACTGTTGAGTCTCTCTTTCTCTCCATGTCCGGGATCTGGCAACGTTCCCAGAATTCCTCCCCAGGACCAGGACACCCTCGGATTCCCAGGATGATTTGTTGGAATGTGCTGTTATCCCCCTGTTGAGCTGATTTATGTGGAGTTTTATCTTCCCCCTCACTTAGACATCAGCCGGGTCATCATCACAACACTTTACATGCCCGTACACTCAGCGAGGAGACACATTCATCAAGCCCTTGTGACGGGTTATAGTTTTATCAATGATCAAATCCATTTCTGCAGGATCACTGCATTATGATGTATGGGAAGACATGCTGACGCCTGGCAGACAGACACACAAGCTCATACTACAATATGTTTAATTCTGTGTTGTGTTGTTGTGATTGTGGTCGATGATGATGTCTCTCACACAACCACATCCAATTAAAGGATGTGGCTAAATAAAAACTTTGAGCCCATAGAAGGTTCAAGAGATGGATGTGGAGACAGACAGGAAGTGGTACCTTCTGTGTCTATCTTTTCTCCGAAAGAGTTTTATGTTAAAGTATTTAAGCTGTTACACATGCAGAGGCCTGAGCATTGCTGGGACTGTAAGTAGAATTTGACAACCCCCAACTGAAAACATCTCAGGAAAAGACAATAAATGATTCTGGTTAGTTTCCTTCTCATGGCAGGTAGTAAAACTGTACAGAAACAGATAAGACCAAAGAAAAAAGGCTTACAACTATATATATGTATATATATAAAATATATATGTGTGTGTGTGTGTGTGTGTGTGTGTGTGTGTGTGTGTGTGTGTGTGTGTGTGTGTGTGTGTGTGTGTGTGTGTATCAACAATTTAATTAATACATTTCTCAAGAATTTCCAACAAGGCTCTCAGTCCCAACCCGATACCCATTACTACTGAAGACATCTTTAAAAATGGGTAAGAAATATAAACTGCTGTTTAAAAAAAAAAAAAAGCTAACTTATTTGGTTGAGGATCTGGACACTGCAGTTTTTAGCCAACAATACTCAAGCATGAGTAAATAGTGAATTTGTTGGGGACTATTTTCAGCTGTGGATTTGGTACCATAATGAGTATTTACGCCACCACAACAGTGTATGTGGGATGGTCTCAAAATAAACTGCATGTCCATGTTCTTCATAATGAAGAAAAATGTCAATTACAGTAACATGTGTCTCATTTAAGTCTTTTTATTAGTTTTTGGCCAACAATAGAGCTATGACACAGAGGAATGAGGTATTGTATCAGGTTTTGGCTACACAGATAACAGATCAATTCAGTGTATTGGGCTTTAAATAATTTGAAGGAATTAATGCTTAGCTGACATTAGCAATTTCTAATTTGCTGATTTGGGATCCCCTTAATAGCACCTGGGGTCCCTGAGCAGCTGTTTAGTTTTGCTACAGCTACAGCTCTGCATACAGACAATTGTAGAAATATGCACATATTACAGTAAAATGTAATTGTGGTTTCTGCCCCAGGACACACTGTTGAATTGTATTACATTAGTAAGTATATTTTAGCCCAGACTTGCTATTAAGAGACAATACTGCTTGAAAATTAGTATATCAAGTGTAATAAAGTATAAACTTTCAGAGAGAGTTCAACAGTTTTCAAAGTCATAATTAAATGTGTGAGTATATTAATTCTCTCAGGCTTTGATTTACTCACATTTTCATCTCTAAATTAATGATTAATAAATTTATTCAACAATAAATACTGACAAGAATAATTTTTCCCATAGTTTACTTAAAATATAATCTGTGTTTTTCCCCTGTCTCCTGTTTCCTTATAGAACCACTAGATGCCACTCTAGGTTTGGATGATCAAATCCAGAGTTTATAGATTAGTTTGAAAGAGCCTCTTGTCTCTTTCTCTTTCTTAAACAATTTTTTTTTCTGTTAAGCAATCATTAAAATTTCAGGTAAGTTGTAGTCCTTTTGTTAAGGATATTAATCTTGTGTTGTACTTAGTGCAGAACAGCATTCATCTTTAAAAACGATGCTGAACAATGAAAACGTGGCGTCCACCAGGAGGCACTCTAACACCCTTCTTCTCTGAAAGTATAGGAGGAGGAGCACCTAAGGAAGAGGCGGAGATTCAGAGGAAGAGGCTGTCCTCAGAGAGAGAAGGAGTGTCTCCAAAAAAGGGGAGGTGTTTTAATGAGGGGAGGCCCTATAAGCACTGGCCAATCAGAGGCTTGTAGAAATTCACCAATCAGAGATGGAGAGGAAAAGCCAGGAGAGGCAGACAGGAAACTGAGCAAATGACCCTTGATGAGAGAGGGGAGGAGGAGGATGGGAAGGATGAGGGGAGGAAAAGGGGCCCTGGGAGAGGGGTGTGTGTATGTGTGAAAGAAGTATAGGCTTGGTTGAAAAATCTGCCATAGCTTATGTTTTTGTCTTGTATTTTCATTATAAGATATATTCCTTTCCCCCAAACGTAAATGCTGAAGGTCCGTTCAAGTGTAAAGAGATAAATAACACACGCATGATGGAGAAGATGAGCGATTGAGCCGCAGCAATAAAATACAGAAAGAAGCAAAAATATTGTGATGAAAGACATAGAGATGAGAAGATGTGATATGTGGAAGGAAAGAAAAAAGTTTGGAAAATATGGAGGAAAGTATGAGAAGGTGGATAATTAGATTAACATTAAACAAGATGACAGCAGAGAACAACATGGATAGATATAGATAGATTTAGAAATTCCTGCTGTTCATGGTGTAAAAAAAAACATGTTCCTGTCATTTTGTTGTTTTCTCCTACTTGATTTGAATGTTTACACGGCCATTTAGTTTCATGATCCTTGGGCCCTGGAAACCTCTTAAAACCTAGGTGCATAAATCCCAAAGACACTGGTGTCAATAAGAAAATAGGCATCCTTAGATTGTGTAAATAGTATTTATGCAGTAACAGTTGTGGGAGGATTACGTGAGAAAGAGAAAAAGAAGCAGAAATGAAGTTTCGAGGAGAGAAAGTGGCTGAGAAAACGCTCTTTCACTCAGTATTTCTCCTGACCTCTAGGGCCTCTCCCCGCTCCCAGTTGGACGGCGAGTTTGGCTGCTGTTCAGTGGGTCAACGGGGGTCAAAAGTCATCTTAGACACCCACACGGAGAGCTACAATGTGACCTCCAACCTCTCCCCACCATGCAGCTGAACCCTGCACAGTGCCTAAAGCAAAGCAGAGAGAGAGGGAAGAGAGAGAGGGGAACGCTGCATTTTTTAACACACATAAATCTGATATCTGATTTGTTTTACCCCAAAAACGCACAGTTGTAGTCGTATCCAAGCCACAGTAAAAAAACAAGTCAGAAATGCTTGTGTCTCTCCCTCAAACCATAATGATGGAGATGTGACTGTTGGACATTATCGCTAATTGAAGACATGAGACTCTCATAGACTAAGTCAGACACAGGAAGCATGCGCTGTCTTGATTCATTTACTGTTCTCTTTATGTTAAAGTACTGGGGGGGCTCAGAAAAAACATGAGAGAAAAAAATTAAAAACATTTATTTCAAAGGAAAAATCCTTAATTTTCTTACATTTCTTACCCAGAGCTATTTTTGATCATGTATCTTTGTTGTTGTGGGGGTCAGACTTGGTTGAAAATAAACAATGATCTGTCAAAGAATGTTATTATAAGAAATGTTTTTTTTTTTGTTTTGTGTTTTTACACAACTACGGCCTCATTAATGTTTTATCTAATTTGAACAACACTAAAACAGCAAATGATGAGTTTACATTTTGATTCCTTTTTTTTCCTTTGACTAAAGCTAAATAAAACTATTGCATTGTTAAATAATGCCACATTTGAAACTGTACTTTAAGCAAGTTAGTGTGCATGTGGACATATATACTGCCTGTGGTAGTGGTGGGAGAATCACTCAAAACCCTTAATTA